TTTGAGTTCACCGTGAGAATGGGAGAACAGGGGAACAGAAAAGCAAGACCGCACGATCTAGAGAAAAGGAGTGGGTTACTCACGAAGGGAAGCAGAGGCTTCTGGGTAGCCAGAGGGATCTACATCCAGGTCCCCCTGACTGCTGGGGTCCAAGTCACATAGCACCCCAAATAGACACAAGACCCCTCAAAGGAGTGTGTATGGATTTCTGGCTGCTTGTGAACCAAAGCACTCAGATGTGGCAGCACAACCTACAAAAACAAAACTAAAACCTCCAGCCGCAACTGGCCCGAGACAGACACAGCCGGTGAGACAGTGCTCGGACCCTTGCCCTGCCCCAGCACGACATCGAGCCAGTCTCTTGGCCTCTCCGTGCATTTCGGTGTTTCCTCATCTGTAAAAAGGCAATCTGCACAGAACACACATCTCAGTGTTGTCAGATTTAAATAAATTACTCCATGTTAGAGCAGAGCTGGGTTCACTGTTATTCACATGGGACAAGGCAGCAGTGCCTGGAGGCAGTGCTTGGGACAGGGCCTGACTGGCAATCCAAATGGGGACAGGATTTGGGGTGTCCAGGCACCCAGAGCCTGGTGTAAGGAGAGGCTCAGCTGTGCGGTGAGGAGCAAGTGTGCGCAGTCTAGCCACGGAAGTCCTCAGCATCTGGGGTGATGGGACTGGGCAGGTGCAGTGGCTTCAGCTCCTTAGCCCTTCCTGACCCCCATCTCACCCACATGAGCTGTGTTTCTGAGAACTTGTGTTAGTCAGCTTTGTGACTATCCTGTGGCTTTCCACAGCAGTTACCAGGTTTATACAGTAGTTAGTTAACACAGTAACCATGTTAAATTTGCTTTATTTTCACTGTTAGTGATACAACAATTTGGGGAAAAGATGAAAGGTATAGAAATAAAGCAAGACTGAGAAAATTTCAAAAGCAGAATGCTTTTCAGAAAGAGCAAAACTGGGCTTGGCACGATGGTTCAATGACTAAATCCTTGCCTTGCAAGTGCAGGATCCCACATGGGCACCGTATCATATCCCAGCCGTGCCACTTCCCATCCAGCTGCCTTCTTGTGGCCTGAAAAGGCAGTAGAGGACAGCTCAAGGTTTCAGGACCTTGCACCCACAGAGATACCTGGAAGAAGTTCCTGACTCCTGGATTTGGATTGGCTCAGCTCCAGGTGTTGCAGCCATTTAGGGAGTGAACCAATGGGTGGAAGATCTGGCTCAACTTTTCCCCATAAATCTGATCTGCCTTTCCAATAAAAATAAATACATATTTTTAAAAACAAACAAATAAAACAGTAAATCTGGGGGCTGGTGCTACGGCACAGCAGTTAAGCCACTTTCTGCAGTGTCCTATGTGGATACCAGTTCAAGTCCTGGCTGTTCCACTTCCATTCCAGCTCCTTGCTAAAGCACCTGGAGAAAACAGCAGAGGATGACTAGGTTGAAGCTTCCACTGGTTTATGTGAGGGCCAAGTGTGTGCTGGGAAGAACCAGGCTGGACTGCAACACCCATTGGTTCCAGTGGAGGACAGGGCTGGAAACAGAACTGACCCAGCAATGGCAACCACCAGCTGATTGGGGAGATGGACTATGCCAGGCCCTGTACTTGCTAGTACATTCAAGAATCTGGTCTAGGAACACCTCAGACAAAGTTTCTTAGGGGATCTCCCCAGTCGAACTGCCGGACTCAGAACTCTAACTAAGAAAAAACAAAGGACAGAACAAGTCAATCAACCACCTCAGCTTTATGTTGGCAGAGAAATACTAGGCAAACGGACACTCTGTGATGGACTATGACAATCAGTGGATTCTTCAACAACCTCATCATGCTTGGAGTGGCGAGATTGGCAGCAATTCATAACTGGTGAACTATCAAAACCACTTGAGCAAGACCCTTGGAGCACGCCCCACATCGGGGACCTGGCGAGGGTGGGAGACTGGGTGGGGCTTCTCCCTTAAAGCCCCACTTTACATCAGATATATGAAGGAAACAATATGGAAATAAGAGTCTCACCCATTTTCTGTAGCCCTTGAGCCTTTTTACCCTAATTAACTATGTAAAGAATGTCAAAAATACAATAAAAAGTGGGAAAAAAAGAAAACAGTGGAGGATGACTCTTGTCCATGGGCCTCTGCTACCCACGTGGAAGACCTGGAAGAAGCTCCTGGCTCCTGACTTCAGATTGGTTCAGCTCTGGCCATTGTGGCCTCTTGGGGGAATGAACCACTAGATGGGAGATCTCTCTCCTTATGTCTCTTCTTGTCTCTTTGTAACACTGCCTTTCAAATGAATAAATAACAAAAAGAATTAAAAATAAATAAACAAAGGAAGAAAGAATGGGAGAAGGAGAAAAACCGAATCAAGCCACCTCGATGGTGTCTCCTAGCTGGCCCTATCTAGTTCATGTTCATTCATGGCTGCCCTGTATTAGAGTAAGCTCCTTGGGTGAGGACTAAGCCTAGATGTTTTGGTTCCCCCTTGGCTTCCCCCAAACTGCTTCCACTCACTGATGCCAGATAAAGGAACTGGGGACGACAGAAAGGGCAAGGAAAACAGCACATGGGAAAGATGTCCGAAGGGCTTGCAATTCCTCCCCGTTGGGCATGCCAGAGGGTCTCACATGCAAGACGGCTGAGGGGAGAACCTCCTGCGAGTCTTTGGCACTGCAGTTGTGGTCGTGCTAAAGCTAGTAGCACTTGGTTTCAGCGACACTCAAATTCCCACATTGCTCTGATGCAGGCCAGGCTGGGCTTTAGTGAAGGACAAATCCCATCCCGACTCGGCATCCCCACTCACTCGCCAGCAAGCACCAGGTGCCGTGACACCTTCTTGGAGATCACCATGTGCCCTGCAGCCATATCCTTTATCCTAGAAAAGGCCAGCCCTTGTCTGGGCAGGCGGAGTTCCCTCTCCTGAACTGACCTGCATTCACATCTGACGAGGGTACAGTCCTTTCAGTAAATTCTGCTTTTCTGTTCATCTTTATTCACATCTCCCAGCTGTATTCTTACACAGAACAAGAACCTGAACTGTGTGTGGATGTGTGTGGCTAGAAGGGGTGGGGCAGTCTCTCCAAGCTCCACCAGGGCTCCCAATCCACCCAGCATGATTTGGCCAGGATGGGCAGGTGTGTTTACCCTTTGTACACACTACGACGAGAACTTCGAGATATTTGACATCCATCTCACAGCCACCCTAGGCAGTCAGAATCCATCTCACAGGTGCTGCCTCCCAGCAGAGCATGCGGATCCTGCAGACACTTGTTATTTGTCAGGAGAAAGCTATTAAGATCCATTATCTGTCACCAGAATATTCAGGCAGCTTTAATCCTTCCTTCTTGCTCTGAGTCACTCCTCATTCACCCATTCCCTCCGGAGCCTGTGAACTCACAGGGGCCTCGCCTGGGCTGCTCATCACCAGGCTGCCCTCCCACTGGGGAGTTTCGAAGGGAATGAATGATGTATCATTTAAAGTGATCATGGATCTTAGTTGAATCAAGCTGCAATATCTGCTGGAAAGGAGACTGGATGAGGGGACGCAGCCAAGAAATAAAGGCATGCATACTACCAGCAAACTGCCGACATTTGAACCCAGGTCTTGCACTTGCTAGCCAGGTATCCTTGTTCAAGCCTCCCTGTGCCACATCTCTAATGGGGAGCATGAGGCCAACGGTACACGGCAGCCGCCTTGCACAACGCATGTTGTGAGAAGCGAATGAGCTGGGTGAGATCTCAGAGGAGCGCAAGGCCTTTGGCGCTGTGGACGCATTCCCACTTAGGGGTCATCCCCCACCCCCCAGCACCCTGCTGAACAAATGCCGTAAACCAAGAAATGCAAGTTCATTCCCAGAACTTACCCTTGCACACCAGTGTGTGTGCATCACATCTTTAGTTAGAACCTGGAAGTGAAACACGCTTTTGGAGAAGTCTCAGGAGACAAGATGGCGCATGCTCTGTCCTTGGGTGGTGATTCCATCCTCCCCACACACACATACACACACACACCTGGATAAACACCCTAATTAGAATCTTGTAGGGCATGCCCATATGAGTGCAGTGCATCTCTAGTCCGTAACACTGAACAAGCCCCACCGTCCTGACCAGGAACCGATGCTGCTTGCTTCCCTCTGGCTACTGGAGCCCTTGGGGCCCTGCAACCATAAGCAAAACCTGGAAGAAGCTTCTGGCTCCTGATGGGCTCAGCTCTGGCCACTGCAGCCACTTGGGGAGTGAGCCAGCGGATAGAAACTCACTTCTTTTCTCTGTGAATCTGCCTCTCAAATATAAATAAGCAAACAAATAAGGAGCAGGAGTTCCAACCGCCCATCCCATCCCAAGTTCTCCACTGCACAGAGCTGCTGAGCAGGTGCGGTCTCTTCCTTAACATCAGTTGCCACTGCATGACCTAAGTTTACATTCGTGCAGAGGCGCTCCACTCCAGGATTCGTGCACACGTCTTGCATTTCTCCCCGGCAAAAACAATCAAATAAAAACTATTTCCAAGGCCAGCGCGAGATTCTGGCTAAAGCAGCCAGACTTCGGAAAGCCATGGTTGTACAGTGACTGAGCACGTGAGGGCAGGTGCCTAAGTGCATTCACACACCCCTTCCGTCCCAACCACCCCAAGCCTGGGAGGCATCCGTCCCCGCCAGCAGAGCCGACAGCCCGCAACGTGGAAGCGGAGCCCGCCGGTTCTGCAGCGGATATGAAGAAACTACAAACGCAGCGCCAGAAACCGGAGGCGGGTCTCCGCGGATTCTTCTCAGACTCTCCTCGCCGGGAGATCCGCGCGCCCAGCACGCCTCCCAGCGGCCGCCAGCCCGCGCGCGCCTGCGCTTCCGGGTTCGCGCGGCGTCCGCCCCCCCGGGCCTGCGTGCGCCCGTGCCGCGTCATCGTGCGTCGCCGGGGGAGGAGGCGGGCCTTCCGGGCGTCGCCCCAACCCTTTCCGTGAGGAGCCGGAAGAGCGGCCCGGCGACCGTGTCCGTGTGCGGCACGCGCGCGGCCTGTGTGTGTGGAGCGTGGAGTGAGTGTGACCGTGTGGAGTGTGAGGGAGCGGAGGGAGCCGTGAGGCCGCCGGCCGTCCGCGCCCGAGCGCCGCCGGCCCAGCGTCCGCCCGCCATGTCGTCGGGGCTCCGTGCCGGTGACTTCCCGCGATGGAAACGCCACATTGCGGAGGAGCTGAGGCGCCGGGACCGGCTGCAGAGGCAGACGTTCGAGGAGATCATCGTGCACTGTGAGCGGCGCGCGGGGGCGCGGGCGGGCGTGGAGGGGTCGGTCCGTGCAGGGCGGCGGTTCTTGGGGTGCGCTGAGGCCGGTCCCCCAGACGGTGAGCCGCCCGGGTGTAACTGGGTCTCGGCCGCCGCACCGTGCAGCGCAGGGGTGCGAGACGGGAGAGGGGTCCTTTCGGGTGCCCCGTCTCCCCCGGCGTGCCGCGCTAGAGGGCACATTTCGGGGATGGGGAGGAACGGCCTCTCGGGTCCCGAGGTCCCGTCTGCCTCCCCCCGGACTCGCGGGGATGTGGGGTTCCGAGGAGCCGTGCTCTTGTTCCCGCTGCTCGGCCCTGCGCGGGGAGCCCCGCGTGCGTGCCAGGGCTTGCACGTGGCTGGCGGAGCCGCGCGTTCCCGACTCCGTCGGAGTCGTGCTTGTGCTGCCTTCCTTGGCGAGCGGACCTCCAGAGCGACCCAGGACCAGGGGCTCGTTCTCTGGGGGAGCTGCCGCGGCGATGGGGCCGCTCCCGGGGCTGCACAGCGACGTGGTAGTGCCGCTGGTGGGATTCGAACTCGCGCTGAACGGCACGGTCGCGTCGGGCTTCCCTGTTGCAGCAGACACGGGGCACTGTGTGCCGGCCGCTCAGGCCTCCACCTGAGGCGCCCTGGGCAGCAGTGCCGGCTGAGAGAGCCGTGCTCCGAAGGCAGCCCTCGCTGACCCCCGCTTGCCGTGCCTGCGACTCCAGGGCGCCTGCGAGCGCCGCGATGGGGCGGGCGGGTGGGCAGCGCCTGCCTGATGAGACTGGCGGGAGGCGGGTGAGGCTGCCAGCCCACTCCTCAGGTCGTGCTGGCGTGGCCCCTCTGGTCCTGAACCCTCACCGGCCCAGAGCCCGCTGCTTCCCTTTCTCCGCCAGCGTCTGAGGCGGAGAGGCCGGGCCCCACCGTCTCCAGCCCCTTGCTCTATGGTCCAGGGACCTGGAGGGGTCACAGGGCACCCAGCTTTGGGGCAGTGTTGGGAAGATTTTGTCGGAGCCCTTCACCTTGGATTAAGTCTTATTTGTCTCTGAATCATCATGTTGAGGGTTGAAACCACTTCAGTCAGTAAGATGAAGAGTATTTCTGGTTTTGCCAGGAAGTGGGAATCTTTTAAATACAGAGAGGAGCAGAGATAGAGAGGAAGATCTTACGTCTGATGGCTTACTCTCCAACTGACTGCAACGGCCAGAGCTGAGCTGATCTGAAGCCAGGAGCTAGGAGCTCTTCCGGGTCTCCCACACGCATGCACGGTCCCAAGGCTTTGGACTGTCCTCGACTGCTTTCCCAGGCCACGAGCAGGGAGTTGGATGGCAAGTGGGGCTGCTGGGATTGGAACAGGTGACCATATCGGATCCTGGTGCGAGGACTTTAACCACTAGGCTATTGCACCGGGCCCAATAGGAATCTTTTAAGAATCATCTGTTGGATCACTTCCCACATGGTCACAGAAACCAGGGCTGGTCCCGTGTGAAACCAGAAAACACCATCTAAGTCTCCCATGTGAGTGACAGGGCCCAAACAAGCCCTTGGGCCATTTTCTTCCTTCCCAGGCATATTAACAGGGAGCTGACTGGCAAGTGGAGCAGCCGGGCACTCGAGCTGATGCCCACGTGGTATGCCTGTGATGCAGACTGCAGCTTGGTGTGGCACGCCGCAACGCCGGCCCGTCCAGACGAGTTTTAACTCAGAACTTGTAGCATTTCTGCTAACCATCCCTGAAGAGCTGTTTGACGAGGTTCCTGTGGTTCATTTTGTTGTGATAGATGCTCTTGGGGCTCAGAATGATCTTCCGGGGTGCAATGCTTTGGCACGCTGGGCAGACTCTCGGGGACCAGCAGGCTGCTAGAGCCAGAGAAGCTATTGCCTGGGGCGCCAGTGTCTCATAAGGGCGCCAGTTCAAGTCCCTGTTAATGCTTTTGGGAAAGCAGCGGAGGCCAGCCACGTACTTGGGGCACTGTAGCCACGTGAGAGACCTGGAGGAAACTCCTGGCTCCTGGCCACTGACAGACCCACCTCTGGCCGTCGGGCCATTTAGGGAATGAACCAGGCTTGGATCTCTGTAACTCTGCCTTTCAAGTAAATCTTGGGAAAGCTAGGGCTCTGCAGCCTTCCCTCATTTTCCCCCAAGCCAGAGGGGATTGCTCATTAAGTCTGTAAAGAAACGTGATGGTGTTGTATTCCCTCCCATTGGAATCTCATCCCACACTCTGTCAGGTCGACCCCTGACAGGCTTCACCCGGGACAGCCCCTGCCGGTGGCCTTGCTTCCTCTCCCGGTGAAGGGCTGGCCAGCCTTCCGCCTGCTGTGCCTGCAGTGCCTGTACACGTTGGTACGATTTTACTGCTCTCCGTTCACATCATGACCGGAGTTTTTGCTGGCCGTGACCTTTTCTGATCGGCAGAAAAGGGGCCACCTGACTGACATCCTAGCCTTTGGTGAATGCCGTCTGTGCTTGTCCTCTGGGTTTGTCAGGCTGCGGAAGAACACATTCTCTCCCTTCCTGTATTCTCTTCTCCCGAGCTGCCCAGAGCAAAGGATCTCAGAATAATCTTGGGTTCTTCCCAATTCAAACCTGTTCATTGTAACTTATGTAGTCTTTTTTCATCATTAAGGAAAAATTAGTTTTTCACTGTTCTTCTGTGTGTTGGCTGCAGCCTTCCTGCCGGCCGCATGCCAGCCACGTGCCCACAGGCTGGGACGGTTCAGCTGTCATCCTCTCTGAAGCCATCTAGGAAGAGGGGCCACCCTTGGCCGTACCTGACTGCTTGGCTGCACTGAATCTGCAATGGCCTTTCATTTGTGCTTACGTTCCTGATGCTCCAATCTGAAGACTTAATCTTGTCACATCTTGGTTCACTTTGTTGATTCTGGTGTTTTGTGGTTCCCAGAGTGGATTAACTTCACACTCATGCAGGGAACAGCTGTGCTTGCAGCTGTGTGTCTGCAGGTTACGGTGGCCGGGCCGCCCAAGCTTAAGACTAGAAGCATCAAGAGGACTGAGCGTGTGTGCGTGATTTCTCTAATGTGATGAATGGCCCCTCATTCTTCGGGGACTAATAAAGCTGAGGCCTTCCTCAGTCACTTTCTGGCTTCTGTGGGGATTTTTCGTTTTGTTTTTGTCTGAAATGTAAGCTGCATGTTACTCATAAATGACTTCTGCCTCTGTTTCTTGACTGCAGACAACAAGTTGCTGGAGAAGTCAGATCTTCACTCAGTGTTGGCCCAGAAGCTTCAGGCTGAGAAGCATGACATCCCCAACAGGCATGAGATAAGGTACCTGAAGAGCCTTGCTTCTTGTTTTGTCTCCATTCCGTTCTCACTTCTCTAATTTAATACGCGCTGTTTCCATGCTCCTTTTAAATGAACAGTGCTAAAGCCAGATAACTAAATTGTGTTTTGAAAGACACGTGCTTGACTAGGAGGCCTGTCGTCAGTGTACTGCGCTCAGCTTTCACAGTCAGGCTCTCTTCTAACCTGCCAGGTTGTCTTCAATAAAAAGAGAAAAGAAAGTAGTAAGATGTATTTATTTGAAACTCAAAGTGATAGAACTTCCATCCACTGGAACCTTCTAGAAGGCTGTACTAGCTGGGGCTGGGCCAGGCTGAAGCCAGGAAGCCTGGAACTTTATTTGATTCTGCCACATCTTGGAAGGAACTCAGGTCCTTAGGCCGTCAGCTGCTGCTCCACAGGCACATCGGCAGGGAGTTGGACCGGGAGAAGAGAAAAAGAGCGGTCAGGGGCTTGAGCTGGGAATGCAAGTGTTCCAAGCTGTGACGCAACCGCATGTGCCGCTTGACTTTTCAGCCCTGTGTGTTCTAAGAGATTAGTGGCTTGTGAAATCTAGTTAGGTTGCAGCAAGCTTTGGTTGTTGTTTGTTTTAATAGGAAGGGTAATCTTTTAAATGTGCATGTCGATGTTTCTTTTGTTTCAAGGGCCATAAGTGGGCTGATATGTTTGCTTGAAAGGCAGGGGAGAAGTAGGCAGGAAAATCTTCCAGTGCCTGTGCTATGCTGGGCCAGATCAAACGTCCACGTCTCATACGTTGGTGGCAGGGACCCAGTCAGTTGCTTGAGCAACACCTCCTGTCCCGTCTTGCTAGCAGGAAGCTGTTATTTGGAGCCAAACTCTGTGTGTGTGTGTGTTTTGTTTATTTTTTGTTGTTGTTTAAGATTTTTTTTATTTGAAAAGCAGTTACAGAGAAGTAAATACAAAAACCTTCTATTTGCTGATTCACTCCCCAGTTGACCACAGTGGCTGAGGCTGGGCCTGTCTGAAGCAGAAGCCAGGGCTTTCTGTGTCTCCCCTGTGAGTGCAGGGGCCCAAGGACTTGGCCCATCCTCTGCTTCTTTCTCAAGCACATTAGCAAGGGGCTGGACAGAAAGTGGAGCAGCTGGGACTTGAGCTGGGATTCTTAACCCTTGTGCCTTGTGCTCTAACATGGGACACAGACATCCCAAGTAGCATTTAAAATAAATACATAAGTGTGTGTGTGTGTGTGTATTTATTTGAAAAATAGAATTACAGAGAAACAGAAAGAGATAGAGATCCCCTGTCCACTGATTTGGTGCCCTAATGAGCTCAGCAGAAGCCAGGAGCCTGGAATTGCATGAGCTACCCCTATTATCAACAGGGCCCACTCACCTGCTTTCCCATGTGCATTAACAAGGAAATGACTTGAACTGGCACCCCTCAGGGATACGTCTTTCTGTGGGCAGAGGCTTAACTTAGTGTGCCACAGTGCCAGCCGTCCAGACAGCATGCCAACCATACTACGCCACTGTATGCGTTGTAGTTTTTGTGAAGGGTGATGGGCCAAAAAAAAATCTGAAAGCCAAAGCAACTTAAATGGGCTTCTTCTGGAGACCTAGTGTCCTGTTTTCAATTTCAAAATGTTCGTGAAGTTTTGTTTAGAAATAATGGCCATTACTAACCTAAAATCTACAGGCTTTTTGTACATTTAGAAATTGTAATAAAAAGTTGGTAAGATTAAAGGAAAAAATGGAGACAGTAGGTGTTGGCTTCACGTATTTAACCCTGAAATGGATGTGCCTGTGACTTGTATGCCACCTGGCAAGGCGGGCTCCTGAGAGATGACTGAATGGGAATGCTTCTGGAAGTTCCCTGGGCTGGCTCATCCTGCGCACTGTCCTCCAGCTTGGCTTTGGGCCCCAGAGGCCTTCTGTGGTGCCTGACTGGCCTGTTCTGGTTAATGTTGCGTATAGATGATGCTTTTGCATCTAGATTCAACCAGTTGAAAACGCAAAACATTTCTAACTGCCTAGATCCTTTCTGACAAAAAGATTTATGTGGAAGGCAAAAGTGCAGAGACATTATCTGCCTGCTGCTTCACTCCCCAAATGGCCTCCACAGCCAGAGAGCTGGGCCAGGCTGAAGCAGGTCTCCCAGGGGGTGGTGGGACTGTCTGCTGCTGCCTCCCTGGGCACGTTAGCAGGAAATGAAATAACTGGGACTGACACTGGCCTTTCAGAGTCACCTCTGTTGGAATGAGAAAAGAGGAGTCTCAACGTTTAGGAAATGCTTGCTTTTGCCCAGAGGTTATTTTCAGCTAGACAAAAGTGCCACCCCACCCTTCTGAGTGCTTATCTCAACATGAAAGTGGAAAGAAATTTGCAGTCACACCTTTGGATGACTTTTCTTCGCTTCATCAGGAGCAAGCTAGACAGGCTAGACTGTGGCCTTCTGCCGGGCTTTGTCCCTGCCCTCGCTGACTGTTAGTCAGTGCTCTGCTCCCTAGAATTGTGCTTCAGACACCACTTGCACCATTGGGGATGGGGGGTTTCCTCTCAGAGCCCCTCTGACCAGGAAATCCATCTTTAGGAACTTTAATAAATTTTGCTTTAATCCTGAAACTATCCCCCTGAAAATTCTTTTTTCATATGAGGCAAGAACTTAGGTCACTTTCTTCCTTCACATGAAATTCCTTGCAATCTAAGTAAATTAGGATACAGAACAATGCTTTTGGCTCAGTGTCACTGGACCAGTCATCTCCTCGGAGAGCTTTCCTCTCATGTAAGCGTTATGTGCTAAAGCCTGCCTGCCTGCCTCCGCCTTGTTTCTCACCAGGTGTCCAGAGTGTACCCTGCCTTCAGTTGCCCTGGATGTTACTTTCCCTCAAATATTTGTTGGGGGGGAGGGTCTTTTTTAAGTTCATTTTTATTTGAAAAGCAGGAAAACAAACATCTTGATCCACTGGTTCACTCCCCTAATGTCCCCGCCAGGCAGGAGCGAGGAATTCCAGGTGACGGAGAAATAAATGCCTAAGCCATCACCTGCCACTTCCCGGGGTGCACCTTAGCAGTGGGCACAGGACTTGGTACCTGCTGTGCCAGGAGCCCACTCCAGAAATGAACGTTTTGTGCCCGACTGAACAATTCCTTAACCCAGATTAGTGGACACGTACTTGGAGTCTCTGATGGAATCTTCTGTCCCCTGGGAGAGAGCTAGCTACTTGCTTATCCCACACCATTAGCTTACATCAGTTCTTTTGTTGTTTTGTTTATGTTACCTGGTTTTTTGTTTGTTTGGGTTTTTCTTAAGATTTATTTTACTGGAAAGGCAGATTTACAGAAATATTTTCCATCTGCTGGTTCACTCCCCAGATGGTTGCAGCTGCTAGAGCTGAACCATTCAGGAGCCAGGAGCTTCTTCCATGTCTCCCTCACAGGTGCAGGGTCAGAAGGTTTTGGGCCATTCTCTATTGCTTCCCCAGGCCACAAGCTGGGAGCTGGATGGGAAGTGGAGCAACCAGAACACAAACTGGTGTCCCTATGACATCCTGTGCCTTTAAAGGCAGAGGACCAGTCAATTGAGCCATCACACTGGCCCCAGGGCCTGATTTAGTTTTTTACAGGGAGAGTATGGAATTACAATTCAGAGAGGATGAAAGTAGAGATGAGAAAGCCTGTTGAAATTTGTTCCATGGAATGAAGGGCAGTGAGCACACTGGGATCCTTCTTCCTGGTTTGGGACTTTATCCCTGAAGAATAAGGGGCATCGACTCTGGGTACAGCTGTGGTGTTCATGACTGGCATTTGTGGTGACTGCTCAGAGTTTGTGCTCTCTGCACATGTGGGTACAACCTCACCTGTGGTCTGAGTTCCCATTTCATCAGGTTCTTCATTCTGGGCTTGGTTGTGTCCTGGCAAAGCTGAGGATCGCTGGTCCCTCCCCTGGGTGCAGGTTTTGCGACCCCTTTCCCAGTCACTCATCCCTAATTCTCTGTCCCACTCTCTGTGGTCCTTTGTGTTCTGCGTTCCATTCCCAGGGCTGAGGTGGGGGAACTGCCACCTTGGCTGCAGGGCTGTCAGTTATGTAGTAAGGGTGCTTGTAAGCAGGTGGGTTCACACCTGCCAGTGTGGTGCTGGGGTCCCCTGAGAGTGTCAGTCAAGTGTCAGCTACTCCGTTTCTGATCCAGGTAACTGCTGATGTGAATGATGGCCTGTGACAACAAGATGCACACAGAGGTGGGAGTTCTTGGACTTCCTGTCCTTTGAGCTTATTCTAAGCCATGTGGAGCAGGAAGTGGAACTGGGCCATGTGGACCAGCTGACTTTTCTCATCTCCCAACTTTCTCTGGATGATGGTTTCAAGCCCTCGGTGGTGTGATAACACCCATCAGTAGCTCCAGCCAAGCCCCGCGCCCCATTCATCCCTTCTCCGAACTGTAAATTCACCATTCAGTTCATCTATGCTATTTCTGACAAACGCAAACACCTTGCAAAGCTTCTGCACCGCATTGACATCTCGAGGTGATCTGACCTCGCTTCCGTGGCTTGAGATGCATTTCTTTGCTGACAGTTTCCACGTGCCAGCCTCTCACTTGGCAGTCTGACTCTAAAACCCAACTTCTGCTTGACATGGAGGTCTACAACTGAGTTCTTTAGACCTCCCCAAACCTGCATGGCAGTTTTGCTGTCTCGCTAGAAGACCTCACCTTTCAGTAAAAGCCTTGAGTTACTCTCTACGCCTGTCTGTTTCCACACCCCATCCATGTACAATTCCTGGGCAAGCCCCGTAGTCCCTGTCCCGGAGAGATGGAGACTGAAGGCGTCACTCTCCCTCCACCATGGAGCGAGCCTCACTGTCCCTTGTCTGAATGAAGCAGTAGCTGCTACCTGGTTTCCTTGTCTTACCCTTGGTCTCACGGCAGTCCAGTGTCTTCCCAAGCAGCCATGGCCATCCTTTCAAAACAGGAGTCAACTGCTCAGAGCACAGCCTCCCTGGGAAGCACCTCCCCTCCCCTCCAGCATGCCAGGCCTGAGCCTTGTGGGCCTTGCTGGTTACTGCTCCTCATGTCCTGTTCCCCAGTCACATGTTACCCTCCCAGAATTCCTCATTGATTAGCTGACACAACAGAACCCCTGTCGTGCTGTGTTCCCTCTGGAGCTCCTGGGGCCCGATTCTCCCATCGTTTATTGTCCATGTGCTCTTGGTCAGTCGCCAGCTGCCTGAGATCAGAGCTCTGTCCTCGCTGCCTCCCCCAGCACCAAGGACAGTGCCTGGTACCTCGTTAGCGCTCCTCTACATGGGGGTGCATCCTGAGCGCTGCTTACCTATACCTCGTCCTTCCTAGGATGACTGGTGGGCATGGTGGCCTTGCTGTGCCATGGCTCCCAATTCTGTTGCTGGGGGCACTGAGGTGGTTTAAGGGTTCTGTTGATGAGTTTGGAAGCTTGGAGTTGCTGTTCCTCTGCCTCCTGGGATGGATTGGAGTTCTGATTTTTCCATTTCTCTTGTTGCTGTGTCCTCTTCCCCTGGCTGGGGGTAGTCCTGGACATGACGGCGCGTGGAATGACAGCCAGCTACAGGAAATGGCGCAGCTGAGGATTAAACACCAAGAAGAGCTGACTGAGTTACACAAGAAACGTGGAGAGGTAAGGATTGCCTGGCTCTTTTCCTGTGCAGTACTGCTGGGTCTGGTGGGGGAGTCAGGAAGGAAGGGAAGGGGCTGTTGGCACAGACTCTGAAAGTGAGAGAGTGGGGGAATCTGAGTGCCCACTGTCCAGCCAAGTGAGGCCCGTCTGCCAGAGGGAGAGCCAGGCATGAGTCAGAATGAACTGCCCAGTGGAATGCTCCAAAAACAGCATGAGAAATGTGAGGACAGAGCCTTGAACAGACGATCAAGCTTGTATGCAGGCGCTCCTGCCGTTTTAGCAGGCTTCTGGTATTCCAGAAAGAATTCCTTCTGTATCCCAGAATTGTCCACCTCCGCCTCTCTCAACAGGCAGCACACAGACAGACCCCTGCACATCCCAGGGGCCCTGCCCGTCCCCCAGCTGGGGCCTTGGATCCTTTGCCCATTCCCACTGCATAATTTCTAGGCAAGGTGTAAAGTCCTGTTGATGAGAGTATTCTTCTTTCTCCCCCAGTTAGCTCAGCTGGTGATTGACCTGAATAACCAAATGCAGCAGAAGGACAGGGAGATACAGATGAACGAAGCCAGGTGAGTAGCTTCCCTGGGGCCTGCTGGTTGGCTCATGTGTCCTCGTGCTGTGTCCTCATGAGTGGAGCCTGTGGTGCGCAGTAGTCACACTGCATACAGCGAGTCTTACTGCTGGGCTTGTGCATCTGGGACCTTGGTCTTTGAGCTCCAAGGAGGAAGAGGCCAGACTCCTGACTTCTTCCTGGGGAAGGAGACTGGCTCATGTGAGTGCCCCAGGAGAGAAGGATTCACAGCTGTGCACTTGGCTACTGTGCATGGGCCTGGCGTCTTCCTGTGGTGGAGGAAGCTACAGTGTCCCGCTTGGGAGCAGGGTAGGGTTGTATTTGTGAGGCTTGCGTTATTGCTGGGGGTGGTGGGGGAGCGATTCTTGGCAGCCCAGAGAAGTAGGAACTTTAGAGCTGGAAGGGAGCTTCATCTCCTTAATAAGTGGAGAGCTCTCCGGAGGCTGAGAGTGGCAGAGGATCGGCTCAGGGCCTCTTGGGAAGGAAGTGAGAGCTGGTGGAAGAGTTTTCAGAAGCTGAAGTAAAGTAGGTCTCTCACTCCAGTGGAGCACCAAAGCTCCCTCCTCCCAATTCTGAAAGGTACTTTCCTCAGTCATTGATGGAGTGAGTTTCATTCTAGGTGCTTCCTCTGCTGATAGCTTTTTCAAGCCCCCCTGGGCTGGCCTGGCCAAGAGATGGGCTAGACGCAATCATTTGGTGCAGGCCTGGTATGACAGCTGACGTTCCTGCTGGCCTACCGGGTGTGCGTGGGGAGTGCTCCACAGGGCCTTTGGGCCTGGTGATGCGGCATTACTCTTCCAATGTCATGCTTTCAGAATTACAGAGTGCTTGCAGACTATCTCTGACCTGGAGACGGAGTGCCTAGACCTGCGGACTAAACTACAAGACCTCGAAATAGCCAACCAGACCCTGAAGGATGAATATGATGCCCTGCAGATCACGTTCACGGCCCTGGAAGAGAAGCTGAGGAAGACCACGGAGGAGAACCAGGAGCTGGTGACCAGGTGGATGGCTGAGAAAGCCCAGGAGGCCAATCGGCTGAACGCGGAGAACGAGAAGGACTCCAGGTGAGCTGTCAGGCTGCGGGCAGTGCTTCTGCGTTGAGTTATGACTCCAGTTCTTAAAGAAGATCAAACTGTCCATGGGGGCAGAGAAACTCAGAAGAATTTGGCATTTGCAAGGATATTTTTAAAGGTTTTGGTTCTGTTTGTTTATGTTTTTTGGAAATTATTTTATTTTGGTAATCTTTACATAGTTGGTTAGGACACAGAGGGTCAAGGGCCACAGGAAAGTGGGTAAGACCATTGTTTCCACATTAGTATTTTTCCCCCTGTATCTGGGGTTAAAGAGGAAATAGAGAGAAGCCCCACCCATCCCAGGTCACCAATGTGGGGCGTGCTCTGAGGGTCCTACTCAAGTGGTTTTGATAGTTCAATAGTGTCTAAATTGCTGCCAATCTCACCATTCCAAGCACAATGAAATTGCTGCAGAATCCACTGCTCAACATAGTCCACCCTAGAGTCTCTGTCTGCCCAGATTTTTCCTGCCAACACATGGCTGGGTTAGTTGATTTGTTCTGCCCCCCGTCCTCTGTAGTGGTACCAGGTCCTCTGCAGGGTCACCTGGGTATGCACCTGGGTATGCTGTCCACTGCTCCATCTGAGCTTTTGAGGAGGCTCACCTTTGATACGTGCACTCCACGGTCAGACATGGAACCTGCACTTCTCTTCATGGTTGGGCTTCTCAGATCAGCAGTTCTGTTGGAAAGATCCGCAAAGAAACTTCGTCTGTGGTGATCCTAGACCTGATTCCTGTGTGTGCAGGAGAATTTGACTAGATTATGTGGGCGATGCTGCTGTCTTGTTTTTTCTCACAAGTTGTATTTTATTGTTTCACTAAGAAAAACATTTTGATGGAGGAATTAATGTGAAATGACTGCAAAAATCTGATTTGTTGTAATTGGGCTTTTTTTTTTTAAGATTTATTCATTTTTATTGGAAAGTCAGATATACAGAGAGGAGGAGAGACAGAGAGGAAGATCTTCCGTCCGATGATTCCCTCCCCAAGTGAGCACAACGGCCATTGCTATGCCAATCCGAAGCCAGGATCCAGAAACTTCTTCCAGGTCTCTCACGTGGGTGCAGGGTCCCAAAGCATTGGGCCGTCCTCGACTGCTTTCCCAGGCCACAAGCAGGGAGCTGGATGGGAAGTGGAGCTGCCAGGATTAGAACCGGCGCCCATATGGGATCCCGGGGCGTTCAAGGCGAGGACTTTAGCTGCTAGGCCACGCCGCCAGGCCCTAATCTGGCAATTTCTAAACAAATGTTTTAATATAGTATGTTGCGTACAACTACTATTTAAAAATCTTCACTTTTTTTTTTTTTTTTTTTTTTTAGTGCTTTTATCATCAGAAATTCAGTTATCTGTGGCTGATGCTCAGGCGCCTAGGAAATGAATGCTTAACTCAGCGTTGTTAGAGATCTGTACCTTTCGTCTGTGTAATTCATGCTGTGGTTTTGTTAGTACCATGTGGAACCGTTTGCAGCAAGCCCAGTCGTTTTGAGCCCTGGCCTCAGTGATGCTAACGGCCTATCTCACTTCCTGGCCGCTGATCCAGGCTTTGCTCTGGAACCCTGGGGAAAGTGGAACCTTCCTGGTGTGGGTTTGAGGCTTTGGGTCTCTTTGCTCAGGGTTATGGTGGCTTTGAATGCACTGAATGTCTGAGTGCCATCAGAAGTGGACGTGACTGGTTGGCTTTGTTTTCTTACTAGGCGGCGGCAAGCCCGGCTGCAGAAGGAGCTTGCAGAAGCAGCCAAGGAGCCTTTACCCGTGGAACAGTGAGTAGAGCTGAGCAGCTCAGAGCATTAGAGTGCTGCGGATTTTAGAAAGCAAAAAGCAGAGCCGGAATTGTGGCATGGCACTCTGCCTGCCATGCTGGCAGTGCCATGCATGTGCTGGTTTGTGTCCTTGCAGCTCTGTATGGTAACCACCTAGTCAAAGTCACTTCTCAGTGAGGCACACTGAGGCCGAGTGTCACGACAGCTCTCCCAGGCCACCAGTCTGTTGGAGGCTGACCCGAGGGGCACACAGGCTTCCGAGTGCAGGCCTTTAAGCACTGTGCTGCCTGCCAGGGCTCTGTGCTTTCAGAGACACTGCAGATTAAAAACTAAGTGTATGCAAAGGGAGAAGGGAGGAAAAGAAAAACCACGTAACCTAACCCTGCCATGCAGGACTTTGTGTCTTAGATGAATGTGAGTTCTAGGAGACGTGGATGCCACCACTTGTGCTGGCAGCATCCCCACAGTGCGTGTCTGCAGACCAGCCCCCTGCGCAGGGATGGGCCTGGGAGCCCGGATGCTGCAGTCCTGCCTCCCACGATTCCCAGGGCTTTGGCCTGGCCTGGCCCAGCTGTTCTGGACATTTGGAGAATGAACCACACAAGTCTGCCTTTCAGATATACTTTTTATTTTTTGAAAAAGAAAGGATGATTCTACTACCACCTGGCAAGAGCATCCTTTTTTTTTACTTGTATTTTGGTGACTTCAGGTTTTTACTTCCCAATCACGTGCCGAGCACAGCTTGGGCCTTTTCTCTAAACACTTGGAAAGAGTCTTGCAAGGAAAAATTGATCAGATTGATCAAAGCTTTTGCAACTTACAAGTATTGGCAAATTATCTTACTGTAGCTGTTCCTGTCCCTACTGCACGCTAGCATCCGCTGCCAATTCTGAGTCCCGGTGGCCTGCACACGGCTCTGCCTCACGGCTTCCCGTGGACATTGGGTCAGTTTTCTCTCCTTGATCCTGTGGTCAGCTCATGCCAGCTTAGGAGATCTTGCTTTTTTCAGTTTTAGATGAAGGTGGAAGCAGGGCCCGATCCTGGAAGCATGTTGCAGAAATCAAGATGTCTTGATGCCAGTCAGGAGTTTAGAGTAGTTTTAGAATTGCATTTATCTGAAAAGCAGAGTGCAGGGAAAGCGGAAGGCAGATCTTCCGCTCACTGACTCACTTCCCACAGTCCCAAGACAGGAGGTTCTTCCAAGCCAGACATGGTGCAGGGCCCAAACATCGGGACCATGTTCCACTGCTTTACCTAGAGCAACACCGAGGAGCAGCTGGGACACAAACTGGCACCCCTGAAGGACGTCAGCGTGGCACCTTTACCTGTTGTGCCACAACACTGGCCCCTAAGCCGTTGTTTTTGATCGGTGGGGGGTGGGGGGAGGAATGTATTTTCTGTACTCAGAAGTAAAAATTTAGTCTCACGTGTTTCTGTTTCTCATAAAGTGAATAATAGTTGACCTGAGAGTGGGATTTGGTTCTTTATATGGTGCCCTTTGTCAGCCTTGAGTGCCATTGTGGCGCAGTGGGGGCAGTGTCCTGCGGAGGAGCACACAGGAGCTCAGCCCAAGGCCACTGGCTGCTCTTTACCACGCGCTTCCCTGAGGATGCGTGGTAGCCAAAGGCCGCTGGCCCCAGGAAAGGCCAGTCTGAGCAGATGCTGTGGGCTGCGTGTCCGCACAGCGCCACCTACTGGTCATTTTGACCGTAGCAACAGAGATCTCTAGGCTCAGGTCCTCTTTGCTGCTTTCTGTTTGTCGCAAACCTAGAGTGGTGTGAAGACCAAGAGGGAAATAAAGTCCAGCTGTGTTCATGCTGTGCCTGCCTGGATTCTCTTCTGCATGTGGGACAGTTACACATAATCCTAGAATAAATAGCCAGGGAAAATCGAGTCTACTTTGACATGGTTTGACTTGCTTGATGACATGTTCTTAAGTATATATTTATACTTGAAAAGGAAAAATCTTTGAAAAGGAAAAATCTTGCTTCAAGTTCTTATGAACTCAAGCAGTAGGTGGTGAAGCCTTGGGTTATTATTTTTTATTATTTTACTTCTCCAGCAAGATTGCACTTCAGTAGGAAGTTATTAAGACCAGAATAAGTACTTGCCTTGCCCCAGACTGAAAGACGTGATGTCCCCATTGGAAATGATTCTTCATTTTACAATTTATTCTAACTTTATCTTCTTTACAAATCACAACTATTTTTATTATCTATTACCAAATATTTATAACTCATTAATCAAAATACCTACTACCTACTCTTAACCAACCACCTCTTACCATACTTTACTCATCATATAACTAAAAAGAACCATTAAAAACCATTTACAATTCTAGTATAACCCATATTTTTTCTTAAAATTATCTATATTATTACCAAACACATAACTTTACATCCTCAACCACAAATATACATCTAAATCGTTTATTTTTCTATAAATATCTAACTCTATTTATTTATATATAATATAAAAAAAAAAAAACCAAAAACAACCCCCCCCCCCAAACAAAAAAACAACACTAAATTTCCCTCTTTTCTTTTTTTTTTTTTTTCCCCCATTTTTTTTTTTTTTGGGTTCAGCAGCCTGCTTCTGTTTCTGGGAGCTGTCTTCTCACCCAAACAAATGAAAAGCTGTCTCCAACTTATTCTCTGTTGAAATTTTGGAATTGATGGGACTGCAGCTGATCTCATGCGAAAAGGAGTGGCTCCTCCCGTGTCTGCCAGGGTCCTCGCCTGCCAGCGGCGTGGCCGAGTCACAGGGCCTGCCTGTGATTTGGGGTGTGCACAACAGACTTGCCACAAACCTAACAGAACCAAAAGAATCCTGTGCCCTTCTTTGTAGGGATGATGACATTGAAGTCCTTGCGGATGAAGCCTCGGAGCACACCGAGGAGACCTCTCCCGTGCGAGCCGTCAGCCGCGGAGCCACGTAAGTTGATGGCTCAGGCAAGGGAAAGGAAGCTGGCACAGGTGTGGGCAGAGCAAGACTAGCCGGCTGCGCCCAAGCCCTGCACTGTGAACTTTAAACAGTTGAACTTTGTTAAGCAGAGCAGTTGTACTCTGGTTCTTAGATAGAAGGGTTTGAGGATGTATTTGCTAAAAGGGAGCTAAGTGAAGACTGGTTATTAGTGGCCAAGGGTTTATATCAGTTAGATTCCCTGTATTCAGCTTTTGTTTCTAGGGAAATTAATACCCGGGAACCTTGTTTCTTTTAAAAGTTTCAGGCTGGGGTTTGCCTCCTCCCTTCCATTGTTTCCTGGTGGTCTAGTGCGGTGCTGGTTTTCTCTTGACTGGGGTTTGGGGACTCCATGAGACCCGTACTTCCTCGACCTGCGTTTGGTGGGCTGTTTTGTGTTGACTGATTATTTGAGCTGAATGTTCCTAAGGTTTAAACCTGTCCTCCCCTCCTCTTTAGTAAGCGACTCTCGCAGCCTGCTGGAGGCCTTCTGGACTCTATCACTAATATCTTTGGGTAGGTTAGAAGACCTTCACCTTTCCTTTTTTTAAATGTATATAATATATACCTAAGTGTTTTGTCCGTGATTTTTTTATTTTCTTAATGTACACCAGTTTTCGTGGTGCCATAAGTTCGGCCTTTCATTTGGCTTCTTTTTTCCCTCAACTTCCTTTCTCAATCTCGCTGCGTGCTGACCTCTGGCCTCTCCCTTTAGTCTGTCCGAGTCTCCCCTTTTGGGACATCGTTCTCCTGATGCTGCCAGGTGAACTGTTACCCTCTCCCAGCTCAGCATGTGAGTGTTGGTCGTTGGGATGACGCTGATCACGCTGCACTCCCCCAGTCGGCAGGTGTCCACATGCTAACCAGGACGCTTTGCATGTTCCTAGGAATGCCAGCAGCCCGCCAAGGTGGGCCAGTCAGGTGGACTCTGCAGTTACCCGCTTGCTCGCTCTTGCGTTGCTTCCTTCTGGCATGTGTTGCGCTCTGCTTTGCTCACAATGTGTGCCGAGGACTCCCGTAGCTGAGCATGGAAGCCACCTTGAAGTAGTTTCACAGCAACGCCGAGAGCTACCGCTGAGCTAGCAGTTGTGGACTAGGGAAGCTGTTGTTCAGGATCACTTGTCGGTGTTGAGTTTTGAAGCCCATGAGTTAGTGACCAGGAGAGTGAGGTACACGCTGGCTCTCGTTCCTCTTGTCCTTTGCGTGAGGATGCTGCTCATTCTGTGGCTCATTGTTCGGTTTGAAGGGCCTAGAACAGACAGGCTGCTTCAGCAAGATGGCCTTCGAGTCTGGTGATGTGATGAACGGCAAACCTGTGTGTCCCATTTACAAATGTCTGCCTTTCTGTTGTTTCTTAGGAGACGCTCAGTCTCTTCCCTCCCCGTTGCCCAGGATCACGTGGACACTCACCCTGGTTCTGGGAAAGAAGTGAGAGTGCCAACAGCTGCCTTGAGTGTCTTTGTAAGTATGCCGCCTCCGAGCTCCACCTGCCTTTTCAAGGGAATTGTCTTGCTCCAGCTTGCAGCTGAGATTTCCACTGCTTTACCTTATTAACTTCCGGTTCTTAGGACTCTCAATACTGAGCAGCCAATGTACTTTGCTGACTTCAGGAAAGTCCAGGGGATGGTTCTTTCCCTGAATTGTAACTCCTGCTGTGTGAATTCTGAACAGTAGACGCTGTGCTGCAATTAGAAACAGTCTTAAATAGAAGCTGCTGCTCCCTAGGGACTGACTGGGTCCTGGTACTAACATTGTCATGTCCACCTAGGCTAAGTGAGCAGCAGTTGAGCCAAGGGAAGAAACAGTAACACGTGGCTCAGGGCTCCAGGAGACAGTTAAAGGATCAGCTTTCGAAGGAGGGCAAGCCATTCTGTGGTGCGCGCTTAACGCGGGAGAAGCCTTCAGAGATGGCGTCTGCACGCAGTGTACTAGCCAAGTGATGAGTTCCTCTAGGTGTGGGATGGCAGGGCCCTACCCCTCCGCTCTCCTCCAGTGATCACGGTGGCCTGGCACTTCTGAGGTCGATGATGATTGGTAAAAGGTCTGATGGCACTGAATGTCGCAGTTCCCTCCTTGCCCTCAGCTCCCAGCAGCCTGTTCTTGTTCTTCCTGCCACGCTTTAGTCATGTGTGGGGGACAGTGCGGCAGCTGATACTTGGGATCATGTCAGTGTGTGTTTGTGCGAGTGAACAAGGCACAGCTGACGGGCATCCGACAGAACTGAGCATAAAGGAGCATGATGAGCGGCAGGTGCGGGCGTGACGTGCATGATCTCAAGTTTTCAATCTGAGACCTGCTAAGGAGGAAGAGGCCATGAGAGGATGAGGAGGGGAAGAGGCGCATCCATGCTACCTGAGCTGTAGGGGAAAGCGAGAAACCAGGTGAAAGTGCTGCCAGTGTCCCCAGGCGGATGAGTCACCACCATCAGTAAAATGTCTCTGGCATCTTGCTGTTACCAGACTCAAGTTACGGTGGATATCAGGTTTATTTTCCCAGAATTGCCTTTTGGGCTAGTCATCTGTGATCTGCTCATAATCCCATGTTTGCTGGTCTTTCTGTTCTCTTCACTGTGGAAGTTTTGAACTGTATATGCGATAGAGAGAAGGTTCTCACTAGCTGTGTCAGGTCTCCCAGCACATTCACCAGTGTTGCCGTCTCCCCGTGCTTGCCAGGACAGTGTGCAGCCAGTGCCAGTGTGTCTTTTCCTGTCCCCGTGGTCCTTTGAAGTTTCCTGGTCCCTCCTCTTCCCAGCCTGAGACAGGATGCTTTCCACTTGCATCCCGTCTCCAGAGCAGCAAGGCCATCTTTTCAGCTCGTCTGTTTCAGTGTTTACCCACCACAGAATTTCCTGCGTGGAGAATTGACGCGTTCCCAGAATAACTCCTTTAATTGAAAGTCTATTCAACACTCCTTTTTTGGAAGAGGACAAGCCCAAGCTTAAAGAGATCAATAACCCTGACCAGGGAGTAACCTCTGAGTATGCTGTAGACTGAACGTATGTTCTCAAACAAATCTAATGTCTTAGAGAAAGACTTGAAAGTGGACCTCCTGGTTCACACTGACACCACTGGATGGTTAGTGGCAGAACTAACCTAATCCTTAGGTTAGGATTCCGGAAAGCTTCCTTTATCATAAGAGGTCTGCACTGTATTAGTTGGTAGCAAATAAGTGTTTTTTCATTAAACAGGTGGAGACGACTCTCCCTCCCACTGTTCACTTCCCAAATACTTGCGACAGGCCAGAAACCAGGAGCTTAGTCAGAATTTCCCCCGTGAGAGGCAGGAACCTGATTGCCAGAACAGTTAGCATTGCTACCTCAGGGTTTGCATTTCCAGGAAGTTTGAGCCTGGAAAACTCAGGCGTTGTGAAGTGGGGTGCTGGTGTCCTTACCAGTTCCTTAACCATTAGGCTGAACACTCACCACTTAATGCATAATATTAATTTGGAGCAAAAGAGGTTCGTGCTTTAGGCCTGCAGTTAAGCTGCTAAACTAAGATTAATAGAAGTTGAGGTGTAATTATTTTTAAGAGAAAGTAAATGAATACAGAGACTGCCTTGACACACTTGGTTTATTTGATTTTGAATACTTTTGAGAAGGTGGCACTGTGTTTAAATAAACTGTCTCTGTCAGAATAAAATCATGCTGGACTTGAGAGCCTGGCTGGGAAGCTAGTTTACTTTTGGATCCACTTGAAGTTGAGGATTTCCTTTGTTGAGCTCCTGGAATGGTGAAGATGGTGTGGCTGCTTGTCTTGCAGGATGCCCATGATGGGGAAGTCAATGCTGTGCAGTTCAGCCCAGGTTCCCGCTTACTGGCCACAGGAGGCATGGACCGGAAAGTGAAGCTTTGGGAAGTGTCTGGAGGTGAGAATCGTTGGGAGGATGCAAAAAGAAGCAGTGATGGTAACCTGGTCTTCAACTATTTCCATTTTACATGAGCAATCATCTGGCTGAAACAGCTCTACCGTTACAGGGACACTTGACATCTGAGTGGATGTTTCCCCTGGTTTCAGTGAAGCAGTGACTGGCAGTCTTAGTCATACCTGTTAGGTTATGGAGACATTTGTTTGGGAACTGTTCAAGTATGTACTACTCTTAAAAGACACTGTTTACCACAGTCTTACGGCTAAAGTAGCTGTTTATGTACTTAATTGTGTCAGTCCAATGGTCTGGGGGTGGGGGGATGAAATCAAACCTGAGCTTGAGAGACAGAGGTTTCATTATGTAGAAAATTACAATTTACACCAGCTGTAGGCAGCTGCCTAGATTTTCTTGTACCTAGGCAAATATTACATTGCTTAGGGATAAACAGCTAACTTCCAGTCTGCCTTTTCTTTTTTAAAGATCTTAAGATCGGGGGAAGGGGTAGAGAACCTACCTCACCCACTGCCATCACTGCCTCCACTCACACATGGGGAAAGGGGGCATGCGATGAGTCACTAAGGGTTGGGGGGTGCTGAAAATGGGTACGAATGGGGGCCACTGCACTGCAGATAATCCAGGAAAGTGAGATGGGTAGATCAGAAGGAGTAATGCAGAGGGCCTCCCTATGTCAGGCCAAAGCACCTGCCTCCACTCACAAGAGCCGGAACTGGGGTCGGGCTAGGCTAGGCTAGGTCGCAGCACACACTGGCACTCACAGAATCATGTTTGGGGGTGGGTCTGGTAGTTCTTTGGGTTGGCCCCAACTTTGCTGCACTGTGTATTGATGAGTGTTGGGGCTGAGGGCGGGCCGTGCCCAGCTAGGCAGTGAGTGCAAAAGCTGGCTTAACCTGTCATAATGTGTGACAAAGAGAGCTAAGGGTGTACCTAGTGGGTCATCTTTGGGGACACTCCTGTTAAGCCAGTGTGTTCTGGGTCTAGGATAGGGGTGCAGAGGACTGGGCTAGGTTAGGCTGCACCATCCACTAATTTGTGTGAGAGCCAGGTCTGAGAGTGGGACTGACCAGGCAGCTGTGACCAGGCAGCTGTACCCACTCGCTGTACATGTGTTGGCTGGTGCAGGTGGCAGACTGGGCCTTACCCTACACCAGCTGGCACACACAAGAGCAAGGGGCTGAGGGTCTCCCAGTTGAGGTTTCTTAGGGAGCCCCCATCTAGACCCCTGTTGTGGGGTGCGGGGTGCAGAAGCCACTCTGGGAGGGGCCATTGCAAGATGGCAGTTGGCCCAGGGCCAGGAGGCGGAGTTGGTCTCATCAGCAGGTAAACAGGAAGTCACAGGGATAGGCTAATGCCCTTGCTGCAATTATGTCATTGCTACTGGCCTATCACGTAGCGCCAAGTGGACCCACAAGGAGAAGTGATTGATGGAGAACAATATAAAAGTAGCCGTTGTAAAAGCACGGATGGACGAATGAACGATGGAGGACAACGAGGAGGACAGTGACGACCGACAGAAAGATGGGACAAAGAGAAGAAGGATGGGCGGGAAGAAAGGTGGCAGAGAGGGGGCTGGAAAAGCGGCAGAGAGGAATAAAAAAGCAGTACAGAAGCAATAAGACCTAACTAAGGGGACAAGAATGGAGAAATACAACGTAAAGAATGGGAAGAAGGGTAGCTGAGAGAGCGCTGGAGAAGCAGGGAGGAAAGCTAAGACCAATGGGGAAAGGGGAGCGGAGAGAAGGGTTTAAACGCAGCCGCTTTTGGCAGTGAAGGGTCCGGTTGCTGTTCCGGCTTTTCCCAGACCCTCAAAAGTATGCCTTGTTATTTAGTGTTGCTGCTGGGCGGCAACACCCTGTGCTTGATCCCTGACTTGAGGGGAAATCATAAAAACATGTAGTCAGACCCGGGAGCATATGTTACAGGTCTGAGCCACTTCAGTGGCTGTCCTCGTGCAGGAATGGGGGGAGTCTACACAGATGAACAGCAAAAAATGGAAAGGACAGTTTGAACAACACTCCAGACCGGATTCTACAACAAGCACCTCGGTTTATGGGCACTCTGAGGTAGACAAGGACAGCCAACAGGCCTTAGAATTCCACCCCTCTGGTGTAACAAAGCCAACAACCTCTCAGAACAATCAAGACCACTCAAGGAACACCCTTGGAACATTCTAACAGCAGTATCTCAAGTGACATCAAATGATGCTGTCTTCTGGCGCTGCTGTAGTACGACAGCAACAAGTGATGCATTTTCTACCCCTTTACTCCACCAGCCCTGCAGACACAGGAGAGAAAACTGGAACCTTTATATCCTCTGCTTCCCACCCCTTTTCTATGCTGCATGGATAACCCCTCAACTTTGTAATAATTACTAAAATACACGGCTCAAAACTTGGTGTTTGGGTTGGTGCAGCGGCTAATTCCCTGCAAGCACTGGCATCCCATGTGGATGGCAGTTGATGTCCCAGCTGCTCCACTTCCCATCCAGCTCTCTGCTTGTAGCCTGGGAAACCAGTGGAGAATGGTCCAAAGCCTAGGGACCCTGCACCCATGTGGGAATCCGGGAAGAAACTCCGTTTGGGGAGTGAACCACCAGGTGGGAGATCTTTCTCTTGGTCTCTCATTCTCTTTGTAAATCTGCCTTTCCAGTTAAAGAAAAAAAGACTCTGTGTTTGGTACCTAAAAATGGGGTAACAGTAAAGCAGTGATTAAAAGCTGGTGAAACTGTCTCTTTGAACCCTTTTGGGAGCTGAAGTCATGCTACAGCACATCCAGCTGCACTCACAACACCAACGTTCCATGTAAGTGCCGAGTGGAGTCCCAGCTGCTCCCCAAAAACATGCCTCAGAAGACATCAGAAGATGGAGTCTCAAGCACCAAGCTTCAGTCTTGCCCAGTCTAGGCCCTAATGGCCATTTGGGGAGTGAACTGGCAGAGGAACCATCCTTGCCTCCCTCTCTATGACTGCCTTTCAAAAGAATGCGGGAGGCTAGAGCTGTGGTCTAGTACATGAAGTTACTATTTGAGATGCCAGCATCACACACCAGATTGAGCTCCAGGCTGCTCCACTTTAGGCCAGCTCACTGTTAATTTACCGGCCTGGAAAAGCAGTCGAGGACGACCCAAAGCCTTGGGACCCTGCACCCGTGTGGGAGAGTTGGAAGAGACTCCTGGCTCCTGGTTTCGGATCGGCGCAGCACTGGCCATTGTGGACACGTGGGGAGTGAATCATCGGGTGGAAGATCTTCCTCTCTGTCTCTCCTCTCTGTATATCTGATTTTGTAATGAAAATAAATAAATCTTTTAAAAAAAAAATCATTGAGGGCCTGGTGGCATGGCTTAGCGGCTAAAGTCCTCGCCTTGAATGCACCGGGATCCCATTTGGCCGCCGGTTCTAATCCCAGCAGCTCCACTTCCCATCCAGCTCCCTGCTTGTGGCCTGGGAAAGCAGTCGAGGATGGCCCAATGCTTTGGGACCCTGCACCCGTGTGGGATACCTGGAATAAGTTCCTGGATCTAAGTCTAAAAAAAGAATCATTGAGGGCCAATCTTTACTCTGACGTACAGTGTTGGCTTGTCACTGAAAGGGAAATAGACACAAATTGGAATTGATGCCAGCATGATTTGTAAGTTGTCCTAAGCGTACAAAAGCAGCAGTGTTGGCAATGCTCGGCAGTTTGGTCGTGTCCCCAGTTCAGGGCCGGCCTTCCACTACCAGGTTTCCCCTCAGCTGATATGTACTGACAGTTGGAGCAGACCCTTTTGTAGAAGGTTCCAGTCATCCTGTGCTCTGTCCTCACACTGCTTGGGGTTGGCACTGTGTTCAGCAGGAGCATGCGTTCTGCCTCATCTTCTCAAAAGCAGAAGGTGCTGGCGAAGCACTGAAGACTGGCTCACCTGGTACTGTGGGTACTGGGGCTTTATGCCGCAGCCCGTATCTGTCTGAGCTCCATCTCTTGCATGGAATAGCTTCTGTTACCTTTTTTATTTTTATTGGAAAGTCAGATATACAGAGAGGAGAGACAGAGGAAGATTTTTCATGCATTGATTCACTCCCTAAGTGGCCACAACAGCCGGTGCTGAGCCAAAGACTGCATCACTACTCAGATTGCCATCCCAAGGACATAGGCTGTCCTCGGTTACTCTCTTAGGAGAGCAGGAGCTGAATGAGAAGTGGAGAAAGCAGTGGCCTAATTTTTTTAAGAATAACTAAAGAAGGGCCTGGTGCAGTAGCCTAGTGGCTAAAGTTCTCACCTTACACGGACCGGCATTCCATAGGAGCCACTGGTTCCCATCCAGCTCCCTACTTGTGGAAAGTAGTCGAGGGCGGCTCAAAGCCTTGGGACCCTGCACCCACATGGGACACCCAGAAGAGGCTCCGGGCTCTTGGCTTCAGATTGGCTTGGCGCCAGCCATTGCAGCCACTTGGGAAGTAAATCAAATCTTCCTCTGTCTCTCCTCCTTTCTGTATATCTGACTTTCCAATTAAAAAAAAAAAGCAGAACAACTGAAGGACTTAGGTGTAAAATGCCGTGGTCTGCATGCTCAGATGTTCATTGTTGCCAGAGACTTGGCAGGTGGTTTTGTCTTTAATGTTCTGGTGTGTTCGGTGCCAGAAGCTGGTCTTACCCATCTACCTGGCTGCTGGTGTGTCTTAGCTCACATGTTGACGTCATCTCACTTGCTGTCTTCTCAATCTTCTTTTTTATGCAGACAAGTGTGAATTTAAAGGTTCGCTGTCTGGCAGTAATGCGGGACTTACAAGTATTGAGTTTGATAGTGCTGTAAGTATCTAACACGCTCCAGAGGTTCATGGCACAGACAGGCGTTTGGTATAACATTGAAAAGTGCTTAATGTGGGTTCTTTGTCTTAAGACAAAATCATGTTAAAAAAAGATGCAGGTAGATTATAGGGTTCATTGTCTGTTAACTCAGCTAGACTCGCGTTTGGGTTTCTAAATTAGGCTACAGTATTACTAGTTACTCTTTGATTCTCTGTCATAGTCACTCGGGACCTGTGTGGTCCCTCCACCCCGGGATCCAGCACGTAAACGGGAGTGGTAGGAAACGCAGTGTGCTTACCGGTGAGAGACCTGGGAGAGGAAACACCATGAAGTAGTGTTTCATTTTGGGACAAGATCTGGGGACCGATACAGGACCTTTGAGGTGGAGTTCATTGATAACCAAACCCAGAAAGTGAGGGAAGGGTCCTGGTGGGGTTGGGGCAGCAGCTGGTTTGCAGGTGATGGCAGCTCTCAATTCTGATGAATCCCCATCTTCACTGGCATCCCGAGGGAGCCTTTGCCCGTTGGGGGTGGGGGTGTGGTCCTGCTGCATTCACACAGCACTGGGCACAACTGCTCTGGCAGGGCAGCTGTCTGCTGTTGCTTTTACAACTCTGAGAAATGATGTGTGGGTCATAGTGTATTTGTGTTAAAGAGGCAAGGTCCAGAGAATTTTTAAAGACAGGTGTGGTGTGAAATTTGGGGATCTTTGAACTGGGGGAGATGGGTCTGCAGTGACTTCCTGGCTCAGTGCTTTTATTATGACCTGGGAGAGGGTGTGGCAGGTGGGCTGCAGAGGCAGGGGTCTCACTGGGCACCTGAAAGTGGACAGCCTTGGAGCACCATTAAGAGATGAGGGACAGGCTGGGGTGCCTTGAGGCTTGGACAGCATGTAAAGAATTTGTGTCGTGCCCAACACAATAGCTTAGTGGCTAAATCCTCACTCTGCATCTGCTGGGATCCCAAATGGGTGCCAGTTCATATCACAGCTGCTCTACTTCCCATCCAGCTCCCTGCTTGTGGCCTGGGAAAGCAGTGGAGGACGGCCCAAAGCCTTGGGACCCTGCACCCGCATGGGGGACCTGGAAGCAGCTCCTGGCTTTGGATCATCTTAGCTCCGGCCAGTGTGACCATTGGGAAAGTGAAGCAGTTGGCAGATCTATCTCCTTCTCTGTATATCTGCCTTACCAATTAAAAAAATAAGTAAACTAATGCATATTGAAAAAAATCAGAGTTGATGTTGGCTGCTGTTGGGGATGTTGAGTAGGGAAGGCTGAGTGTCGTGTTGGACCTGTGCTTGCAGCAGGCAGGTGAAGTGGAGAGCAGGAGTAAGGTCTGGACTTGGAGGAGCTTGGTGGCGGCGCTGTGTAGAAGCTGGTATTGAGATGAGCTGTGGAGTTTCAGGCCTCTGAACCTTCCTAGACTTGATTAAGGAATTGGTTTGTGTGAACTGAATGTTTCTGTTTCAAGTGAAGTCATGTTTTTTCCTTATGCTTTGTAGGGCTCCTACCTCTTAGCAGCTTCCAATGATTTTGCAAGCCGGATCTGGACTGTAGATGACTATCGATTACGGGTAAGGAAGACTCACTTCGGAAAGTGCCTCCACGTGGCAAGCAACGTACAAGAAAATGGCAGGGCTCTCCTGTGGGTGCTTCTCTTTTCCCAAGAAGTCACACTTGGTTCACTCTGGTTTGGGTTTTTTTTTTTTTTTCTCTCTCTCTCTCCTTGGAAAATTTGTTTCCAAGTTGGCATTCTCTCTCCAAGGTTCAGTTTCAAAATATATGAAATTCGGTCCCTTGAATTTCCGTGAAAGACTTGGGGTACTTTGGTTCACAAGAACCAGCTCCTGTGTGTGGTGGGTAGCAGTTTCAGCTTAACCCAGCACATCCCAGCACCCACACATGGACCGTGGTTCCGGCTGAGCCTGAGCCCTTGTACTGTGCAGAGGAGAGCAGGAAGGGGGAGTGTCCAACAGGCTCATGATGGAGGCGAGCAGTGCTGAGCAGCAGAACTGGAGCTGCGACCAGGGCTGACGCCAGGGGACAGTACTGCGGTCGGCTGGCGAGGCAACCTGCAGTGGAAGCAGCTTGCTTGTTCTGAGAGCTGAGTCCGCTGCTCAGCATAAACTCCAAGGAATCCTCAGTGAGCTTCAAAAACACTGCCCAGACAGGATGGAGGGGTCCGTGCTGCCTGAACCGGACTGCCTGCACTGAACAGGCTGCTGAGTGGCTGTGCTAGTGAGATGGGAGGGTGCAGGCGGAGCTGGACGCACCTGGAAGCTTGTCACTTGAGCTTTGTTTGCTTCTGAGAGTGGGTGGAAGCTCGAGTGCCACATGCTAGCCCGTGTCTCTGAGACAGTACTGCCTGAGTGTCCGATGAGAGATCCCAGCCTCCACGGCCGTGGGTCCTGTCCAGGAGGCGTGCACTGCCACGGGGCCTGTCGTTGGCTGCCTGAGCACATGCTCAGCTGAGACCTCACCCATGGCAGCGTGGCCACTGTCGGGTGCCCACCCCGCAGTGCCGTCGTCCTAAGAACATCTAGTTAGTTTGGGTGGTGGTCAGAATTTACAGAACTGGAACCCATATCAGCAAATGCAATGATTTTTTTCTTTTTTGTTGTTGTTGTTTGTTCTTGTTTTAATTGAAGATCAGAGTAGCAAGGAGAAAGCGATACCTTTTATTAATTGGTTCTCTGCTCACGTGGCCACAGGGATCCAGGCTGGGCCTGGATGAAACAACACTCCCATTTGGATTTCTTGTGTGGGCGGCAGGGGTCCCAGGCACATTAGCATGGAGCTGGATCAGAAACAAAGAAGCTGGGCCTAACCTGGTTGTTTCATGTGGGAAGCTAGTGTTGAAGGCAGCTGCTTAACCTGCCACCACCCTGCCCCTAGATTATCAGCTAATTCCATTGTCCGTGAGCTAGTGAGCTACTTCATATATTACTGTATTTAATCCTCCGAGAAAACAGATGTGGCTGGTTGAGAAAATGGCTCAAGTAAGGTCTCCCTGCCCTTCCCCCCACAGATGGACAAGGTCAGGACTGAGGCCTCCCTTGATCCCTTGGTGCGGCTTAGATCCCGACAGAGCAGAAGTGGCCAAGGGAGAGCCCGTGCTGGGGCCTTGGAGACCAGCGAGTGCAGTGAGAGGCAGCTGGTCTGTTGCTGACCTTCAGCTCCATTTGTGCCTGTATTGAAAAGGGTGCAAGTCTATGGAGGCCCAGCTGCTCCAGAAGATCTGCCTGCAGCCTGCCCAAGGTCTTCCCCACCTCCACCCTGTGCAAGTGTGAAGAACTGGCCACACTGGGGAGTGGCAGCTGGGTGCTGCCTTTGATCTGACAACTTCCTGAGCAGTTCTGCACTCCCCTGGCACTGGCTGGCTGTGGCTAGTGTTAACATTAGGTGTGTGGCTAAGGCGTTGCTGAAACTGTTTTATCTTTGTAGATAGTGTCAGCCCACAAGGTCTGCTCTGAGGCTGTCGAAGCTTGTGGAAAGCAAGGCTGGTAAAACGTCAGGTCTCCAAGACAGAGGCCCAGGCCACCGTCCTATCTGAACCCTAGTGAAGAGTGGAGGGTGAAGGCCATGTGAGCTCAACATTAGGAACAAGGTGAACAGAAGCCTATGCTTCATCACTAAAAAGGCTAGTAATACAGATAAAAAGCTGGGAAGTTAAAATACCCTTTTCTTTAGTACAAAAGGCAGAGAAACATTGAGACAGAGATCTCTGTCTGCTGACTCACTCCCTTCAAGACTCACAGCAGAATCCCCTATGTGTCCCCTTTCTGTAAATCTGACTTTCCAATAAATAAAAGTATCACTATCAGAATTTGAAAATAAAGTTAAAACCTCAATCCCAGGCCAGGGATCCAAGAACTCGAGCTCACTTGCAGCCCCCCGAGTGTGCATTCGCAGGAAGCGGGGTCGGAAGTAGAGTCAGAGCTCGGTCCCAGCCGGTGCAGTAGGGAGCCCCAGCAGCCTCTCTGGCTCCAGGCCAGCAGCGCCCTCTGCTGGGCCGCAGGGCTTTCGGACAGCTGCCTGCAGGCCTCCCACGGCTCGCATCCTTGCGTTCTTCACCTTCCAAGGCAGTTGCAGGCAAGATTTGAGAGTCAGTCATTTATAGCAGGCTGGGTTTTTTTAGGTTGGTAATTTTGTATGGCTTTCAAATGATAGAAATATCCAAATGGCTCTTGAAAGAAAAAGGAAGAAAGGAGAAAAGAGAAAAAAAGAAAAGATTCCCCACCCCTGAGTTAGAATATTTCAGAATTGGGTTTGTGGTCATCTCTCAGTATAGTCTGGGTTGATTTGAGTATTGCCTCAGGTGCCAAGATCTGCAGATCCCCAAGTATAAAATGCCGCAGAGCCAGCTTTGCAGCACAGCATGTCACTACTGCCACACCAGCACACATCCTGGCTGCTCCACTTTAGATGCGGCTGCCTGCTAAAGGCCTGAGAAAAGCAGTGGAAGATGCCCGGTGTTTGGGTCCCTGCCACCTGCATGGGAGACCTGGGTGCAGCTTCTCTCCTTGCTGACATCTGACTCTATCTCTGTCACTCTCAAATTACTTTTTAGTAAGATACGATGTTTGTCTGTAATATACACATCTTCTGTATTTTAAATAATCTTTGGATCACTCAGTAATGACTAACAAATAAATAACTAACCAAAAAAAATGCTGTATTTCTTAACAAGAGAAAGAACCCAAATCTTGCAGAATCAGTGCTGACAGAATTTTTGTTGTAAGGTTTTCAGCCTGCTTTTGGGGACTGACAGTCACTATGTGCCATTTTGAAGAGCAGCGTCTGTTTCTCCTTACGTAAGAGACAACATCATGTCCCAGACTTTGAATTTTGGATGAGAGTTCCTTGTTACAGCGGGAGAAGTCGTTGGCTTGTGTTCCTCCCCTGGATTATGCAGCTGGAGTGCTGTATGCCAGTGCAGTCTTCCTCCTTGTTTGTGTGTTCACTGTAAGCGGGGTGCTGCAGCTCTTCCTGGCAGGCTCTGGGGCTTGGGGGTGGGTGCCCCCCTCCCTCAGCTGCCTGACAGCAGTGGCACGTGCTGTCCCGGTTTTGGTTCCCATCTGCCCACTCGTCCCATTGGAGAAGGAAAGTGTCGTGTGAAGAATCTTCTACAGAGAATAAAGGAAAGACCAGCTTTTAAGGTGTTAACACTGAATTGTTGGGATTAGAGCTAAGTTGTTGCAGCTAGCTGTGTTGGGACTTGTCAAAGGATTCTTAAGAATGAAAATGTCAGTGAATTATGTCCAGCCTTGAGGTTCCATCCCAGGGCCAGCGTTTGGTGCAGTGAGTCCAGACACTGAATTTACCCTGGTATCCCATATTAGAGCGCCAGCCAGTTCAGCTCCCAGCCCAGCTCCCTCTGATGTGTATGGAAGGCAGCCCAAGTACTTGACCCCCGAGGCCTGTGTGGAGTTGTTGGCTCCTGGCCTCAGCCTGACCCAGTCCAGGCCATTTGTAGTCATTTGAAGATTAGCGGATAAAAGAGCAGTCCGTATCTCTGTTGCTCTGCCCTTCAAATAAAAAGTAACGATCAGCTCCTTCTTAAATATCAGCCCCAGCCTAAGAGGTCAGTGATGAGCAGAAAAGGCACCCCGGCCTCCCAGCTGGCCCCGGCTGCCTCTCTCCCACGGGCTCTCGCTGTGCTCTGTGGGCAAAGGTGCTGCTGACCCTGGGATATGTCCGTCCTGCCTGCGCTGCTGAGCACTGTGGGTGACATCCAGCGGCTCTGTCACCAGCGGATCTGATGGCTAGGAGTGGTGTGATATGCCATTTCAGACTGAGGCCTCCCAGGTTTTCGGGATGAAGGACTGGTCTCCTCTGGGAGAACCACTTATACCCAACCCTGTCTGCTCTGAGTTAGTGTAGACTACGAGCAGCTCTGGCTAAGATCTGGGCTTTGTACTGGGTTGCCCAGATGTTAGACAACTCAGCTAGGCTGCCAGACTGCAGGCAGGTGCTTCAGATGGCTTCAGGGGGTCCCCTCCTTTTCTTGAGGACAGGGAATGGGACACGGAGTTTGGTGGTAATGATGCTGGCTTAGTGGGCGATGGATCCTTCTGGTGTTGCTACTTTGACTGAGGGCAGTACCACAGGTGGGCTTTCTTGGAGTTTCTGCCAGCTGCTCCAGTGGTGGAGCGCTTCCAGAAGCTGCTGTGTACGAAGCGTGCGACCTCTTTGGTGTGCGCTCACTAAACGAGGTTGCGCCCCATTTCTCATTCCACTTCTGCCTTTGCTTTCTCGTCATTTCATTCCTGTGGGATCTGCGACCGACTGGAGATTGGGGTGCTGTGGCTCTTCCACCAGCCTGGCCCAAACTCAGGACACTGTTCTCTTTCTAGCACACACTCACAGGACACAGTGGGAAAGTGCTCTCGGCCAAGTTCCTGTTGGACAACGCACGGATTGTGTCGGGAAGTCACGACCGGACCCTCAAACTCTGGGATCTACGCAGCAAAGTCTGTGAGGAGATTCGGTCTCTCTGTGTGTGTGTGTGTGCATAGACCCGAACCGGGAGCTGTGCTGGCATTGGAGGTGTGGGTGTAGTGCTGTGCTCGGGCACTCGGGCAGTGGTACTTGTTGTTTGGGACTTGCTGGAGTTGGCGATGCTGGTGATGGAGTGCTTAGTGTGTGGCAGTGGTGTGTGCCCGGCCTCGCCGTGCCTGCCTGCCTGACGGACAGTGTCTGCTTTCAGGCATAAAGACAGTGTTTGCCGGATCCAGTTGCAATGATATTGTCTGCACTGAGCAGTGTGTCATGAGTGGACATTTTGACAAGAAGATTCGTTTCTGGGACATCCGGTATGACACCCAGGGACTTGTAGTTCTGGGGGAAGTAGACTAGAGGGTCTGAGGAGCTTTTGGTTTGTTTGTTTAGATTTCTTTGAAAGGCAGAGTTATAAAGAGCGACACCTTCCACCTGTTGGGCAGGTACAAGTCGAGAGCCAGGAGCTTCTTCACCGTCTCCTGTGGCTTGCAGGAGCCCTGGGGCCTGGACCATCTTCCTCTGCCTTCCCAGCTCGTTACTAGGGAACTGGATCCCAAGGTAGAGCAGCGGGGACTCAGATGAGCACTCATGTGGGGTGTGGGTGCTGTAGGCCTTGGCTTAACGCACAGCACCAGCCCTCAGGGTCTGTGCTTTCAACCCCAGGAGGAGAGGAGCGCCAGTGCCCCTGTGCCCTCACTGTTGAGTGCTTGGGCAAGCCATTGCTGAGCTGGCTCTGTGTTCAGGTGTTTCACTAACTGCACGATCAGCACGGACGGCTCCAGGTAGTGAGGCTTCCTGCCACAGGGAGTTGACACTGTGACAAGCAGCAGAGCACTGGAGTAGACAGGTGCCTTTGTCCAGTGTGACCACAGCTGCCGCTTGGAGATACTCCCGGCATGGCTGACCCTGGGCCGGGGGGAGAATCTGGGCACAGCTTGCTAATAGGTCAGGTTGGAAGGTAAGGAAAGACAGAGAAGTAAAGCTGGGTGCTGGTGCTGCAGATGAAGCCTGCACCTGTGGTGGCAGCATCCCACGGGGGTACTGCTTCAAGTCCCAGTAGATCTGCTAACGTGCTGGGAAAGCAGCAGAAGATACACCCGGTTCAGTAACCTGGCCACCACGGTGGGAGACAGGCGCGGAACGTCAGGCTCTTGGCTTCAGCCTGGTGCAGCTGGAGCTACTGCAGCAGTTTGGGGTTGAACCAGAGGATGGTTCGTCTCTCTCTTTCAAATAAATGAATCTACAAGAAGAAGAAATTTAAGTGCTAAGTGATAAAGGTTTAGGATAGAGATGGAAATGAGGAGTTCTCAGTGAGCGGGGCATGCTCAGGTGCTCACTCAGTGGGTGCAGAAAGCAAGAGTAGCATTGCAGGACCTGCGCCAGGAGGGCTGGCCTGAGAAAGCAAGTGGGAAGGCCGATGGGTTGGTGGCCATTGCGGGGGTCGGGCAGTCAGCTGCCCGTGAGGGAAGGTCCATTTGTAGAAGATGTGGGGGAAGGAAGCATGAAGTCCTATGGCGGGAGCTGCTGCATTGTGAACCCCAGTACTAGTGGCTGCCCGTCCAAGATGGCCGGCACATCTGACGAGGGCCATGTGCGGGGTCATCACATGCAGGGGTGTGCTGCTGACGTAAGCCAGAGCCAAGTTGCTGGGGCGACCTGGCCTTCCAGTTGGTTGGTTGCTTGGTTGGTTTTGGGGGTTTTTTTCGTTTGGTTTTTTTGTTTGTTTGTTTTTGCTTTTGCTTTTGCTTTCCTTCTTTTAAGGTTTGTTTGTTTCAAAGGCAAAGTTAACAGGGAAAGGAAGAAAAAACAGATCTTCTGTCGTAGGTGCACTCCCCAGATGGCCACATCAGCCAGGGCTGGGCCCCACCAAAGCCAGGAGCCAAGAGTTCATTTCAGGAGCCCAAGTCTTTGGAACCCACCCTGCTGCTTACTGCTTGTCTAGGCATGGCAGCAGGGAGCTGGGCTGGAAGTAGAGCGGACAGGATCTAGCGGGCACCTGGGGGGTGCCTGTGTTGCAGGCAGTGGCTTAATCAGCTGTGTCACAGTGCTGACCCCCGTGTCACAAGTTCTAATATGGACTGAACACCATTACTGTAGGATCCGCTGATGGAAAGGACAAAAGCAGCCCCTGAGGCAGTTCTGGGGCTGGGCCTCCCTGGTTCCATTCTAGCTTGCTGTGTGTGTCTTCAAGCCCATCTGTGACATAGCGCCCTGGTGAAAACAGAGGTGCCTCTCCTCTCTGCCTCACAGTTGTCAGACGTTTCTCTCACAGGTCAGAAACAATTGTCCGAGAGATGGAGCTTTTGGGGAAGATTACTGCCCTGGACTTGAACCCGGAGAGGACCGAGCTGCTGAGCTGCTCCCGTGACGACTTACTCAAAGTGATTGATCTCCGAGCAAATGCTGTCAAGCAGACGTTCAGGTACCAGCAAGCGCGCCGGCATCCTGGGCTGCGGGGCGGCCTGAGGCCCCTGCGCCCTGCCCGCCGGGTAACAGCACCCTGCTGCTCGTTTCAGCGCTCCTGGATTCAAGTGCGGCTCTGACTGGACCAGAGTGGTCTTCAGGTTAGTAGCGATGCCCCTGCCCTGAACTGGGTCAGTCTCGAAGGTTGGTACGGGGGAGTCAGCAGCGTTTATCCAGTATGACAACCACAGTGTCCAGGAGTGAGCCTGTCTGGGTGTCGGTTCTGGCCTCCCCTATGGCTTCTGTTGGACTAGGAGGGAGGGGTAGGAAGCCACCTGGCATTGCTGTTTATCAGCTGGAGGAGTCCAGTCCCACAGAGGGCAAGGTGCAGATGACCCCCACTTCTTGGGAACAGGGCCGTGCAGACTGAGTTGGAGGTGGCAAGCTAACTGCTTTTCCTCCCGTACCGCCTCCTGCAGCCCTGACGGCAGTTACGTGGCAGCAGGCTCAGCCGACGGCTCGCTGTATGTCTGGAGCGTGCTCACGGGGAAGGTGGAGCAGGTGCTGATGAAGCAACACAGGTAAGGGGAGCCCTCCCCGGAGGTGGGGGGCAGGGCCTCTCTTCCTCTCTGAGATCCCTTTGTGTCAGCAGACTGACCTGTCCTAAACACTCCAGCCTGATTGAGGGGTCCAGGCCCTTTTTTCCTTAGTCTGTTCCTGTGCACCCAAGCTGAGCTGCGAGCGAGACTGGCTTTCTGCATAGCCTACTCTTGCACTGTGCCAGGCAGCTGCGCACCTCTTGTGCCTGCCTCTCCAGTGCTCACCCACACAGGTCCTGGCACCATCCCAGGCTTGTGAAGCCTGTCTTCTGATTCCCTCAGAACTACTGTAGAGGGGAGCCGGGAGACCTGCTTGCTCCTGTCGTCCCAGTGCTCAATAAAACACAGCCCAGTGTTCTCAGAGCATCTGCCCGCTTCCAGACACATGGTCAGCTGAGCTCTAAGCAACTTGATGTTCTTATGGTCTTTCCTCCGAAGCTCGTCCATCAATGCAGTGGCGTGGTCCCCCTCCGGGCTGCATGTGGTCAGTGTGGACAAAGGCAGCAAAGCCGTGCTGTGGGCGCAGCCTTGATGGACGGACTGGAAGAAGCGCGGGGAGGAGCTTGCAGCCGTGTCCTGGCTAGTGTGGGTCTACCCCGAGGAGCTCCACAGCCCTTTGAACAGGATTTCTTGGGTTTGGACTGAGGTCTGTAATGGTCTGGAAGAATCACACTGAAGTAGTCTGGTCACTCGGCAGAGGTTCAGGTTCATGCCTCGTGTCCCGTGGGAAACACTACTAGCTCGGGTCTGCCATACCTCATGGGCGGGGGGCACAGGCCCCGCCGCTCTCCTCACTGGACGGCAGTGCCAAGGGTGCCCCACTGTCTGGGGGAGGTTTTCGCTGTGCTTTCTCCTGGCCTTCTGGTCTGACCTGATGCATGTTCTTGCACCTTGGGGTCGTTTCCTCCGTATCGCTTTAAACCTTTAGTTGACAGAAACCCAGGCCCAGGGCCTGTCCTGATCTGAGGAGGCACGGGGGGTGGGCCAGGGCTCTCAGGCAGACCACATCTGACCCTGCAGCTGCTCTGGTGCGGCTGTCCCCGGCACACCTGCCTGTCTATTTCTGGGTCAAGAAATAAGCACCCATTTGGCTTCTAAGCAGAGTTGAAGTAGGGGAGAAAAAGTGAAAACCTCCCGCCCGCCAGAGCGTGGATGTGCCCAGGTGTGAAGAGCGAACCCCTCATGGCTCGGCTAGTGCCCAGGAGGTGCTGGTGGGCGGGGCTGCGTGCCATCTGCCCAGGGCAGGAGTTGGGATGAAGGCCAGGGAGAGACATTCAGCCTCACTGTGCATGAGCTCGTAGTTCTCTGGGTGCCTGAAGCACTGGTGTTTGTATCACTTTAATTTGCACTTTATTTCCCCCTCACTTGCTGCCTGCACGTGAGGATTGGGTGCCAGCCCAGGGGGTGAGGCGTGGGGCAGCATCTCCGTCCCTCACACTTGCCGCCTGCCCGCATCACCCCTCTGCCCTTTGCCCGAAGAGGACTTGTGTCAAGGGGAGCTAAAATTCAAAGCCAGGGCACATCGTTTATTTATTTAATTATGTTGCCCACAAAACTTGATTGTAAATAAAGAAAAATCTTATATACTTTTCAAACTCCTTGCCTCTGAGTGTTTTTTGTTTGTTTTTTCCTTTGTCTTTGAAGAAAGAGCATGTTGGCTTTCCTGGTGTTTATTTATAGGCACTGGTTGGTACGTTCCTAATACTCCATGTTGTTCGTCACACTGGCCCCGTCCCACGCTTGTGCCCAGGTACATTGGAGTGGCACTTCTCCACAGGCAGCTCTCACTGCCCTGCAGCAGCTGTCCCCCAGAGCACTGTCAGCTGCCAGGGAGAGCTGCCCCCACACGGTCCCCCAGCCACTCTCACCCGAGGGGTTACTGAGCTGGGCGTGTCTGCTTTGGGTTCAGCTCAGGATATTGGTTCCTGGAAGGGCACTCCTGCCTGGCCCGACGCCTCGAGTCAGGTTCCATTGTAACCTTGAGACTGGACAGCCAGCACTGGACGCTTCCCTGGCAGCTAGCTGATTGGGCCCTTTGTGGTCACTACCAGGAGGCAGGGGAGCCTGAAGGTGGACCTTAAGCTCACATTGCAGCAGCCTCACATCATTGCACTTTGGGGCTCAGTGGAACTCGGCTGCTGCTGTGTGTGGTTCCATGTGTCTGAGCTGTCTTCCACACTCGGCTCTCCAGGTCCCTTATAGCACAGGGGGAGATGGTGTCCATTCTTCCTGCCTTCTTGCCCACAGGTTGCCTGGTGACACATCCCATTGGTCAGCAGGGACCACGCAGAGATGTTCAACTCCCCAGTAATTCTCACAGCAGCGTTGAGAAGCATCAGCTGCCTTTCAGGTGTTGGGGATCAGAATGCACTTGGATGGTGACTGTCATCTACCATACATACAGCGTGGACCCAAATACCAACATGGCTCGGCATTGCAGACTTTGACCCTTAAGTGGGTTTGTATTGCCTGGGTTACTTGATTCTGACAGGTTGAAGGCCTGTTCTCAAAGGATGTGTGGTGCTTACACTGCCCTTTGTCCTACACCTTTCACGTCGTGGCACACCTCAGGTTACATATGGATAGACTTGGAGGTCCATGAACAGGTTGGCTTCGTCTGGGAACAGCCTGCACTGGCACAAAGGGAGAGGTAGCTGGGAAAGCGCAGGCTGCCAAGTGCCCTCGCTCCCCCAGAGCAGCTGTGGCTTGTGCTGGTTGGACCTTGTGCAGTGTGGACGTTCCACCTGCGTGGGGCAGCATAAGGCAGACCTGGCAGTGAGCTGCCACCTCTCCAGAGCTGGTTCCCCGCAGAAGGAAACCACAGGCTTGTTTTTAGGAGGTGCTGTGGCTGTATCGTTCTACGAATAAGGAGTCTGGTTTCATGACCAAGTGAGTAGGAGGGTGGCATAGAGAAAGCCCCGGTTAGCTGGAAGTTCTACATAGGTGGCAGGGAGGGTATGTGCCCAGAGCAGCCAGAACACCCACAACAATGCAAGCTGCCTCCCCTCGGCAGGATTTGATCCTCTGACCTGGAGGTGCTCCAGTGCTCATGGCTCATCCCTCCCAACTTCATCTTTTCCTGGCCTGTCCAGTCCAGAGACTTCAGTTCCCTCTGTGTGTGTCCCTCGGGTGCTCCACAGCCCATCAGGAGTCCTCCCAGCATCGTGCCACCTTCATGTTCCTTTCTGACCCTTGGCTGGCTCCAGCCAAGATGGGAGCCTCCAGCTCAGGAGGTCGGCAGCCCCATGCTGAGCACTGCTGTCTCAGCACCCTGGCCAGTGCCTGGCTAGCTCTGCAGTTCCCCCTGGGGTTCCTCCTTAGACTATCTTAGAGCAAACTCCAGGGGTGTGTGTGTGAGAGAGAGATCTTATCCACAGGTGGGCCATGTCTCAGATGGGACAGCTGGTCCCTGCAGGTAGCTGTGGGTTTGCTCCAAGCTGGAGTAGAGAGCAGGTCAGTGTGGCCTTGGCCAGAGAGCTGGTGTGAGGGGAGGTCGGTGGTGAGATCTGTGAGCCAGGGAGTAAGACAGGTGTGGAAGCCATGCTCGTTTCTGGCCGTGCAGCCCTCAGCACCGTCTCCTTGAGGAGCGCACGTGCAGGTGGCTCTGAGTGTCACGTAGTGGGCAGTTGGAAGAGTTTCTGATTAAAATGCTGCTTGGGGTGCCTGCATCCCATAGCAAAGCTTGACTCGGCTTCCTGCTCGTGTGCGCCCTGGGAAGCAGCAGATGGTGGCTCAAGAATTTGGGTCCTTGCCACCCGTGCAGGAGACCTGGATGGAGCTGTCCCAGCACTAACTGTTGGAACTGTCTGGGGGAGTGGAGTAGTAATGGTGGATGGAGGATTTTTCTGTCCCCCTCTTTACTTCTCCAATAAATTCTTGAGCAGGAGAAGCAGAGCAAACATTTTAAAGTCATTTGGTAGAATGGAATTTAAAGAATGGCTTCCAAATAGAAGTAGCTGGAAGGAACAGAACATGGAGTGATTTCAAAGACAGAGGGTGAAAGTTGTGGTGCAGTGGGTTAAGCTGCTGCTTGGGGTGCTTGCACCCCACATCTCAGTGCCTGGTTCCAGTCTGTTCACCTCCATCCAGCTTTCCGTTAATGCTCTTACTAGTCAAGTGAATGGATTCCTGGATCCTGGCTTCAGCCTGGCCCACCCCTGCCTGACTATTGAAAATTTCCCTGACACTCTGCATTTTTAAATAAATCTTTTAGAAATACCCCATATGACTAATGAAGGCAAATTTATAGGGGTTTGTTTGTTTGTTTTGTAAGTTTATTTGAAAGGCAGAGTTGACAGATCTTCCACCCACTGGTTCACACCCAAAGTGGCGTAACAAGGCTGGGCCAGACCAAAGCCATGAGTCAGAAGGATCTTCCAGGTCTCCCACATGGGTACAGAGCACTGCTAAGGGATCTCGGTGTCCCTGGCAGCAGCTTAATCCAACTGCACCGTGACGCTGGCCCCGGATGGACTACTTCAGCGTGAACATGCCTCCGTGTATTCACGGTGTGCAGCTGCCGCCTCTAGGTCCAGTGAGAACAGAAGGGGTCAGTATTGCGCAAGGGCTTCTGGTCTGTGGCAGCAGGTCTGCTGACCCTCTCCCCAGCAGAGCCCTGAGCACGTTGTGTGTACGCAGCTTCAGAGGCTCAGGGGGACCTGTTCACAGGTGCTCCAGTGGGCCGCCTCGCCTCTGCACTGCCCTTCGCTGCTGGAGCAGGCCAAGGAAGCCTCACGTGCGGGGAGGACAAGGTCCAATCAGAATCTGCCTCCACTGCACAGGGTTTCAAACACCAGGTGGGAGGCCAGGGTGGTTTTTTTTAATTTGAAAGGCAGTGACCCAGAGACTGCTCACTATGCAGATGGCTGGGGTTGCTGTGACCCAAAGGCAGAAACCAGGAACTTCACCTTGGTCTCCCACGTGGGTGGCAGGGGCCCAAGCACGTGGGCTGCCCTCTACTGCTTTCCCAAGTGGGAGCTGGATGGGAAGGGGAGCAGCCAGTACTCCAACCGCCGCTCCCACAGGCGAGGCTGGTGTCACAAGTGGCAGCTTACTGCACTGTGTAGCTACACCACTTTGCCAGCATTCCACCTTATTAAGAAATTGATCTCTATGTGACATGAGTCTTCTCAACCTTGGGAGAAAGGCCAGGTCAGGGGGTCGCTTATCCAGACAGAGGAAAGGAGACGGCAGCGAGCCAGACAGCAAGCCGTCCTCTCAGGTTTGCGGTGGGCTCACCAGTGGCCTGCGGAGCCCTGGACTCCAGCCTGGGTTTCTCTGCAGTGACATGTTCATGCCGTTAGCATGGTGCCTCGGGGCCGTGGGGAGGACATGGCCAACGTTCCACTGTCAGAGTTGTGGGTAATAGCAAGGCAGTGTTTTCCTGGTTCCTGGGAGCATTCAGCAATGTGTGGGACGTGATGCAAAGGAGACTCGAGGAAGGTTGTAATGTGCAACTGTTTTTCTAGGTCTCACCGCCTTGAGAAATGACACGGTTGCCCCATGTATGGTTTCACAGATGAGCCAATTTAGTCCCTATCAGCTCTATTGTTTAGCTTGATTGAGAAGTTCAAAACAGCTTCTTCATTAAGTTACAGGAGAGACTAGCCAGTGTGGCTGCCGCCTACAGTGCTGGCGTGCCACATGAGGGCTGCTGGTTCAAGACCCAGCTGCTCCACTTGCGGTCCAGTGCCTGGTGATGGACTTTAGAAAGCAGTAGAGGATGGTTCAAGTACTTGGGCCCTTGTACCCATGCTGGACAGCAGAGGAAGCTCCTGGTTCCTGGCTTCAGCCTGGCCTCACTCCTGGGGAGTGAACCAGCAGATGGAAGATCTCTCTCTGTAACTGCCTTTATAAATGTATCTTTTGGGCCCAACACAGTAGCCTAGTGGCTAAAGTCCTTGCCTTGCATGCGTCAGGATCCCATGTGTGTGCAGGTTCCTGTCCCAGCTGCTCCACTTCCCATCCAGCTCCCTGTTTATGGCCTGGGAAAGCAGTGGAGGATGGCCCAAGGCTTTGGGACCTCCTGGCTCCAGGTTTTGGATCAGCTCAGCTCCAGCCATTGCGACCAGTGGACAGAAGACCTTTGTCTCTCCTTTCCTCTGTAGTTCAGCCTTTCCAATTAAAAAAAAAAACTTTTGAAAATGCATTTTTAAAATTCAGGGAAATTTCACTTTTTCTTAATTCCTTGCACTATGAACTTGGGAAGCTCCTCACACATGTTGGAATAGGGTTAGGGTTAGAGTTGTCCCTAAAGCGCCACTCGCCAGCTCTCGCTGTGGTCCCAGTCTCACACTTGTCAGGGATCCTGTTGTGGGTGGCTCACAGGCAGTGGGGACACCTGGTCTTCCTCTGATAGTCGATGCTTAGCACGCTGTAGCCGGTTTCCTGTCTGCTGCCCGTGCCCTAAACACCCTCAAGATGACAGCCCGCCCTCAAAGCCTGTAAGCCTCTTTAGCTGAGTGTGCTCGTGCCCCCCCGCTGCCCTCACAGGCTCAGGGCTTGGCTTCCCGCTCCGAGCTCTGCCTCGGCCAGCCTGCCCCAGACTGGGAATTCAGTGGGCTGTGAATGTGGAAGCAAAGCCCAGGGGAAGGTTGCCAACTCATTACTGTTTGCTAAGGACTTTTTCCTAATCTAGCACAGACTTTCATTATTTTATGAAAAGGAAGAAGGCTGTTGTGTTTAGTCTTCTTAAATGCCAGCGGGTATGTCGTGATAACCATTCAGACGGTTGAACAGGGAAAAAACAGTAGTCAGGCCTGACTGGGTGCATGTGACCCAGGTGTGAAGTGTTGGAGCATGGTGTTGATCGGTATTTACTGTGGTTTTTTCAACTTTCATATGTATTCCAAAATTTATTGATACAGTTCTGGAAAGCACAGAACAAATGACAGAAGGCAAATCTTGGTTGCCACAGGCTGGAGGGTTGGTGGAAGGATTGATGGAAATGAGTCCCAAGAACTCCAAGTAGTGAGACATTTTCTTGTTGGCAAACTGAGCGACCCCCCATCCACTGTTTCACTCTCCATATGCCCACCACATCCGGTGCTGGGAGAGACCAAAGCCCAAGGCCAGAAACTCACCCAGGTTTCGCATGTGGCAACAGGAATCCAAGTATGTGGGCTATCACCTGCCCTTCAGGGTATGCATCAGTGTGAACTGACCACAGGAGCAGAGCTGGGGCCCAACCCAGTCAGTCACCCCAACATGGCATGCGGGCACCTTAACCAAAGGCTTAACCACTAGACAGTGCACCCCCACTAGAATGTTCTGTGTGTCAATGTGGTGGTGACTCCAATTCCACTTTCTGGAATGTTCTGGTTGCTCCCTTGTGTCATTCAGCTTGTTCCTCTGTCCACTTTGTTCCCCACAGACTGGAAGTGATATATGAAGACTGTGAGTGCACGTGTGGTTAACGCGTTGGAGCTTTCTGCTGGGTCTGTGAGCACTCTGATGTAGCCATGGTCACTGAGGGGGTTAGGGGCTGCCATTTCTCCTGACGATTACAACACCAGTGAATACCCCCTGGCTTTTAAATGTAGGTTTCACTGCTGTTTAGGCATGGTGGGCCCACAGACCAACGAGGACGGCTAACACAAAGGTATCATTCTTGGTTCCCAAGAGCAGACTCCCAGTTGGAAAAGAGCCACATGAGGGTTGGTTAGGGAGTGAGGGGGAGGGTGGGCAAGAGTCTGTGGTGTCTGTGGGAAGGAGCAGGCGAAGTTGGGTGAGCCACTGAGGAATTTCAGCAGGTGCTGGAGTGTGGGGGCCATCCCTGGTGGAGGCTAAGAGCCTCACAAAGGGAGGGTCAGAGCCATGGGCCTCACTGGTTTACATTGAAAAGGCCCCATGTTGACCCCTGGCTCACCTTAGGAATTAGATGGCCCTGGGACGGACAGTCTCTTGATGATCAAAGGTGCCAGCAACCTAAGCATTAGAAATACAAATGAGAGGGGCTGGGAGGATAGCTCAACTGGCTAATCCTCCACTTAAAAGCACCAGCATCCCAAATGGGCACCAGTTCATGTCCTGGCTGCTCCACTTCCCATCAAGCTCCCTGACTATGGCCTGGGAAAGCAGTCAAGGATGGCCCAAAGCCTTGGAACCCTGTGCCCACATGGGAGACCCAGAGAAAGCTCCTGGTTCCTGTCTTCAGATTGGCTCAACTCCGGCCAATACAGCCACTTGGGGACTGAATCAATGGACAGAAACTCTTCCTCTCTATATGTTCTTCTCTCTTTATATCATAGCTGGTGCTGTATCAATCCAAAGCCAGGAGTCAGGAACTTCCTCCAGGTCTCCCATACCAGTACAGGAATCCAAGGTTTTGGGCAGTCCTTGACTGCTTTCCCATGTCACAAGCAGGGAGCTGGATGGGAAGTGGAGCTGCCGGGATCAGAACCGGTGCCCATATGGGATCCCGGGCGTGTTCAAGGCGAGGACTTTAGCCACTAGGCTACTGCACTGGGCCCAATAAAAATCTTTAAATAAATAAAATCTTACCAAAAAACAAAGGCAAGAGTGAAAAAAATCAGTTTGTCAAGTTACATTTTTTCAGTTTAATCTGTTTGTTAGCCACCACTCCTCTACTTTTTAACTGTATTTTTCTCTTTAAAAATAACTTCAATCATTTCAGGTAAAATTAAAGACACCAACTGTTAAACTATTGCAACCTAATTATTTATTTGCTAAAAGTACATCAAGGGAATCAATGTACTAGAGGATATTCCAGATGCAGGAGATGGGACAGGGTACAAAACACTCAAAAATCTCCGTATTTGTAAGCTTACAACTTATGTTCCAGTAAAGGTGTTGGGAGACTAGACAATAAGCAGGATGCACAAGTCAGCTGTCTCCCATGTTAGGTGGTGGCAGGCTGTGGAGAAAAACAAAAATAATACAAGGAGGAAGAACAGGAGTGTTGCAAAAGTTGGACTGATTCACAATAGGCTTGAAGCGAAGACCCAAGCCTGAGAAAGTGAGCCATGTGATTATCTGTGCGAAGAGTGTGCCAGGAGAGGAAGTAACAAGTGCCAAGTCCTGGGGGCCAGTGGATTGGAGGAGGGTGGGCAGATGAATAAGGTGCGAGGTCAGAGAGGTCAGGGGTCATGCAGGACCTTGCAGACATTGCTCGGAGCCAGAGGCCAAGCGGCTGGAGTGTGGGAAGAAATGCCAGCACCCCAACTGCTTTCCTGCTTTTCTGGCCTCGTGGCCTGGGACTGTCCAAGTCCACCATGTAGGTGTGCAGTGGCCGCAGTGTCCTGCCTATTTATTCCTTGAGTGCTCTGGACTGTGGGTATTGTTTATAACAGTAGGAGGGCCAGGCGGAGTAGGGCGACGGTGCAGAGTCTGCCTGCCTCCCAAGAGCAGTGGGACGAGCCACGCGCAGGTGGCAGCTCTGGCTGAGCTGTCACTTCTGTGAACTCAGCTGGGTGTTGTCTGACCATGGTCACTATCGTCCAGGGAAGCAGAGGGGGATGTGTGGATTCAGGAAGAAGCTGTGGGGCCAGGGAGACACCGGGACTCTCCAGGGCGGCTGAAGTCATTGACGGAGTGTGGGCTGGATTAGCTGTGCCTACCCAGCATGAATGCATACCCAGGCTCACCTTCAGGCTGACATTGCTCCTTGACACTTCTGCTCACATAACACCTGCTCTGCTTTAATCAAGTCTGTCATTGTGCCTCTAAATCCCCAGTTTTGATGATGCCAAGGCATGCAGGGATAACTGGTCTATTTCCAGAATCCAAAGAGGTTTAGGATAAAAAAAAAAAAAGTAGATTCCGGTTGGCTACCACGTCTTCCCAGGTGAGCTGGTTGGCCCATGCTTTGGGGGACCCCCCGGAAGGAGACTGGGGCCCTGTCTTAATGCTGGGAACTGCTGAGATGATCAGGTCCCTCTCTCAACATTAATCCAATTTCCACCCCACTCCCTAAAGGGGATTTGACTTCTAGCCACTGAGAGCTGGGTGCTGGACCTCCTTGTCAGATCCCCTACAAATTCCCACCCACGTCAGCTAGGGGCTTCACCTGTGCCTCCACAGGAGCCATCTGGTGGGACAGCCCCAGCTGGCTCAGAGCACATAGGGACCCTCTATCTCCCGGCTGCCTGGGCCAGCTCACCTGGCTGGTGACTGATCACAAGGTATGTGGCCATCGCCACGCAGGCCTTCTTGGACACCCAAAGGATGAGCATTCTCACAGTCTGTCAGATTCTCTCCTTCTCTGCATGTCTCCGCAAGGTTTTTGTTGTTAAGGAAACTCCAGGAGCATTTCAGTTTAGACCACAAAGCTAGCCTCTTGTCTGTGTATGGAATTGGGGGCTGGTGGAAGAGACAGAAGGCAAGGATATGAATAGGACGTTGGAATTTTAATATGGTCTTGAAAACTGTATTTGAAAAGTGAGTGTGTTGTGATTTTCGCAAACTTTTTTTTCTGTTTGTTTGCCAGAAGACACAGTCATGATAGAGTTCTAGATTTAACCTGGCTAAGTATGACAACCAAGGTTATATCAGAAAGTATAGTCTTCTTGTTAGAATCTAGTAGGACTTCTGGGAGGACTTTGATGAGAAATGTTGAATGCTTACCAAGAAAGATGACACACACCTAGGAGGGGGAAGGGAGGAGAGTGTACAGACCTCAGTGAATATAAACCAAAGACCTTATTCAGTCCACCATGTGTGTTGAAGTAGCTGGAAGTAGCTGGTGGATGTATAGTATTCTTGACTTTGTATTTTGGACAGTTTCCCTTCTGCCCAGGCCCCTACCACCTACAGCCTACAGTGGAGGAAGCCACCAGGAACAGAAAACATGGCAGCCAGCAAGTCCAGTAAGTCCAATGTTATCTTCAAGAAGATCTCCCGGGACAAATCGGTAAGTGGCCCGATGGAACTGTGGTACATAAGAACAAGAAGCAATAAACACAGCCTTTCCAGGAGGAGCTAAGATGAAGCTCAAGACCCTGGGAGGCTGGGGACACTGATGGCAGGGACCTTGGATGGGGATGGGACAGCAGTGCAGGTTTTCGTCCTGCTCCCCAGGACCCTGGTCCCGTGACCCTCGCTGTCTCCTGAGCCCTCTGTGGCCGCGGCTTGGCCTCTAGCTGGCCTTGAACCTGTGATGTTCACTCAGGACCGGTTGTCTAGCAGAAGGGGTCAGGGCTAGGGAGTGAAGAAGGCCTATGCCTTCCTAGGGATAGAAACTCCTTCCCAGAAGGACCCCCGCAGACCTCTCTCCTATTTTGTTGGTCAAAATCTAGTCCCATGCCCTCACTTACCCAGTCCCAAGCCAAAGGGACCGAAGGCTGTAATTGGGTGCAGTCAATCAAGAATCATAACATAGGGGCTTCCTGCTTGTGCATAGCCTTAGGGGAGCTGGTGGAGCCCAGACCCAGCAAACAGCTTTCATCTAGGAAGAATGGGTGTGAGGCTGTGGGGTGTCCCCTGCCTCAAAGCAAGCTGCTGTCAACTCACAGCGCTGCCCACTTCCCTGCCTGCTCCCATCCTTGCTCTCCAGCTGCTGATGTGCTGGGCCTCCCGGCCCCCTTCCTGAGCCATGGTTCCCACTTGCCCCCCGGGACTTTCATACTTCAGGCTTTCCCTGCCTGGGCCCTAGCAGCAGGCTCTCTCATTGTCTTTGCCTGACCAGAAACCCAAATCCAACCTCAGGCATCTTTAAAATGACTCCCAGCTGACACCCTCCAAGCAGGTGGAGTTGAACAGAGTTTGTGAAAGGGGGCCTGTTTATTACGGCATGGGCAGGTGTGGGAGAGATCCAAAGTGCTCATAATACACCAGAACTAGTAGCAGCTTCTCTGGATACCAGATGCCAGGAACTGAGATCCCATGGAGAAAGGGCTGTGCCTTCCCAGACCTGGCACCTGCAGGCAAGCAGGAGACAAACACCTGCTTCCCTGCTTCCTCTCCAGCACCTGGCTCACCGTGTCTGTGAGCAAAGGCTAGGGAGTCCACTGGAATGATTGACCCCAGGGCAGCTCCGAAGATGCAGTGTGAGGCATAAGGGTGAGACGCAGGCACCCACGATGGTGGGGAAGTAGGTGCATGCAGCCCTGGCTGGCCCACAGCAAGCGCTATGCCCTGAATTTGTAGTTTCCCATGGAACATTCTCTAATAACAGGACTTCTAATGGCCTTGGCTTGAAGTCACTTCAATATTGATCACGCCAATAGCTCCAGTGCCATGGGACCCGCTTTGGGGCATCTGAGACAGGGTGCTGAGGGGCCAAGTCTAAGAGATGATTTAATGTGGATGCTCATGGAAGTGAAGCTGTGTGTTTGTGGTGTTTTGGGAGGAGGGACAGTAGGGCCCACGACGTGAGCAGTGGGCAGCCCAGACCTGGCTCTCCCAGATAGGGATCAAGAGACCTTGGCTGCCAGGCCTGGACCACACGGCACAGGAGCTAGCAGCGGGGCTACCTCAGTTACCCCCACCAAAGCCACCAGGAGAGATTTTAGGAACTCCCCTAGAACTGCCCGGTCGCCGCAAATCTCTGCTCAGCCTAACAAGGCTGTATCAAGGAGAGCTCTTTTGCTCCATATCCAGAGGAAAGCAAATGCCAAGGTTGTTAGTTCCCAGGGTGCTTCCTGGTTGACCTGAGCTTGCTGGGGAAAGGATGGGCACAGGGAGCTTCCTTGCCTCTCCATCGGTGGGGAGTGGGGATGAAGAAGTACTCAACGCGCAGGCAAATGAGACAGAGGACTCGGTCTACTTGTCTGATACCGACCGTCCACCCACAGCTGAGCCGCTAGAGTGGACATCTTCAGACAAGCTGTGGAAACCTAGAAAACAGGCTCCCCTGTGCTCAGATCTGTGATGTGAATGCCTCAGCTTGGCATCCCGCAGTCACTCACGCGGCACACCTGTCCTTCCTGCAGGTGACCATCTACCTTGGGAAGAGAGACTACGTAGACCACATCAGCAAAGTGGAGCCCGTGGGTAAGTGGATGTTAGAACCATTTTTCCCCTTTTTCTACAGATGCGCTTATTGATTTGAAAGGCAGTGACCAAGAGAGGGAAGGAGACAGAGAAAGAGATCCTCTGTCTGCTGGTTCATTCCTCCAGTGGGAGTGATGGTTGGGGCTGGGCCAGGGAAAAGTCATATACGTGGAACTCCAGTCAGGTCCCTCAGTGGTAACAGGGTTGCAGGTTCTTGGGCCATCTTCCACTGAAAGCAGATTGGTAGGAAGCTGGATTGGAAACAGAGAAGCTGGAACTTAAACTGGTGCTCACATGGTATGGGATGCCAGTGCCCCAGGCAGCAGCTTAACCTACTGCACTACAATGCTGGCACCTGTGGTCAGTTGTTCACACTGGTTTTCTTTAGGTCTGCAGACAACTGCAAGCTTGATATTTTATTTTATTTCTTAAAGATGTAATTATTTGCATTCAAAAGGCAGATTTACAGAGAGGAGAGACAGAAACGTGTTCTATCCACTGGCTCACTCTCCAAATAGCCACAATGACTGGACCTGAGCCGATCCAAAGCCAGGAGCCAGGAGCTTTTCCTAGGTCTCCCACATGGTTGTAGGGGCCCAGGGACTGGGGCCGTCCTCTGCTGCTTTTCCCAGGCCACAAACAGGGAGCTGGATCAGAAGTAGGGCATCTGGGACATGAACCAATGCCCCCGTGGAATGCCAGCGCTTGTAGGTGGAGGCTCTTCTGTTACATCATTGTGTCAGCCTCGGCAAGCTTGGTATTTTATTTTATTTTATTTCTTTTTTAAAGATTTATTTATTTTTATTGGAAAAGCAGATATATAGAGAGGAGGAGAGACAGAGAAGAAGATCGTCTGTCTGATGGTTCACTCCCCAAGCGACCGCAACGGCCAGAGCTGCGCCAATCCGAAGCCAGGAGACTGCTCTCCCACGCGGGTGCAGGGTCCCAAAGCTTTAGGCCATCCTTGACTGGCTTCCCAGGCCACAAGCAGGGAGCTGGATGGGAAGTGGGGCTGCCAGGATTAGAATTAGCACCCATATGGGATCCCAGCGTGTTCAAGGCAAGGATTTTAGCCACTATGCTATTACACCGGGCCTAAGCTTGATGTTTTAAAAACTGCCTCGAATGGCCCAAGGCTTTGGGACCCTGCACCTGTGTGGGGGACCCGGAGGAGTCTCCTGGCTTCGGATCGGCATAGCGTCGGCCCGTTGCGCTCACTTGGGGAGTGGATCATAGGACGGAAGATCTTCCTCTCTGTCTCTCCTCTCTGTATATCTGCCTTTCCAATGGAAAAATAATAAAAATAAATCTGAAAATAAATAAATAAATAAGTAAAAACTGCCTCGAGCTGCTGCCTACAATGTCCATGTCCCAGTTGCTCTACCTCTGATCCAGCCTCGGAAACGCAGTGGAACATGACCTAAATGGGCCTCTGCCACCCATGTGGGAAACCTGGAAGAAGTTCCTGGCTCTCAGCTTTGGCCTGGTCCAACTCTAGCCATTGTGGCCATCTTGAGTGTGGCCATCTTGAGTGTGAGCCAAGAATGGAAAAGCTCTCTCTCTATGTGTAGCTCTTTCAAAAAGCATGAAAAAAGCAGTCAGCCTCATTCATGATCTGACTTCAAAAAGTGCAAATTAAAACATCAGTGAGGTACTCCTGGCTTATTGGAGATATTTCAGAGCATGAGAAGCCAAAGAGCTTATTTCTAGATAATAGAAGGAACCTCTGAACTCAGCAGTCAGAAAAGAAAAATCCAGCAAGAAAAACAGGCAGGAGATATGCAAAGCAAATTTCATCCGAGAAGACGCTTGGCTGACAAGGAAGCACCAACAGCATGGGCAGAGTTGAGAGAATTCAGGGAGGCCCAAGTGGGGGTCACCAGGCACCTGTCACCACACACATGTCAGAATGGCTACAGAAAATGGCAGCCACAAAACCAAAGGTTGATGGGAGGGCACTGGCTGGTGGCAGTGAGAGGCAGAAGGGCTGACTTGAAAAGGGTTGGCAGTTTCTCAAGAAATGAAACATACCTCGGATGCGAACTGAGCCTGCTCTGTTCAGTCCTGTTCGTAGTAGCTTCAGGACTGGAAAGAAGCAAGCTGTCCCCCAGCAGGTGAATATGATGAAACACACACACACAGCGTGTGCATCCCTGCCATAGAATACAGCTCAGCAGTAAGAATGATATACTCAGCGTTCATAAACCACAGGTGCGTGTGGATCTCAAGGGCATTCATTGTCCTGAGGGCCGAGTGGACAAAAGCCAAAAGGCCACAGATGTGTCATTCCATTTCTCTAACTTCTCAAGCTGAGCAGAGTATACAGATGGAAAGCAGAGGCGTCCTGGTAACACTGAGAATGGCAGGAGGAGAAGGCAGACTATTAAGGACTCTGCATCCGATGGTGGAGGTGGTCACACAGGCCTGCACCATGATACCCAGTGTCCCCAAGCCAGTTTCCTAGGTAGTTTGGTTTGCTTGGTTTGTTAATTTTTTTTTAAGATTTATTTAATGTTATTAGAAACTCAGATATAGAGAGGAGGAGAGACAGAAAGGAAGATATTTCATCCAATGGTTTACTGCCTAAGCCACCACAGCAGCTGGAGCTGAGCCAATCTGAAGCCAGGAACCCAGAGCTTCTTCTGGTTCTCCCATGTGGGTGCAGGGTCCCAATGCTCTAGGCCATCCTCGACTGCTTTCCCAGGCCACAAGCAGGGAGCTGGATGGGAAGCAGGGCCGCTGGGATTAGAACTAGCGCCCATATGGGATCCTGGCCCATTCGCACCAGACCCTAGTTTTGTTTATGTGTTTGTTTTTTAAGATTTATTTCTTACTTTCTACAGAGAGAGGGATGGAAATAGAGAGAGATCTTCCATCTGCCGATATGGTATTCAGTGCCATCAGCACCACAATTCCAATCCCTATTATTTATTTAAAAAAAAAAATGGGGAAGGGACAACACTGTGGTGTATCAGATAAAACTGCTGCCTGTGGTGCCAGCATCTCATGCGGGCACTGGCTCAAGTCCCAACTGCTCCACTTCCAATCCAACTGATCCCTGCTAATGCCTGGGGGAAGCAGTGGAGGGTAACTCAAGTCCTTGGGTCCCTGTACCCACAGGGCAGACATGGAAGAAGCTCCTCACTCCTGGCTTCCTACTGGCCCAGCTCTAGACATGAGGCCATTTTGGGGAGTGAACCATTGCATGGAAGATGCTTCTGTCTGTCCCTTTCTCTTTCTGTGACTGCTTTTCAAACAAATGAAAGAATCATGGTGAGACACACAGATTTGTGTATAAAGATGTTTGTCACAGTATTAATTATAATGGGGGGGGATATTAAGAGCCTCCCTGATAGGAGTTGGTTAAATTATGTATGGTACTTCTATTAATGGAGCAATGTGGAGCTATTAAGTTGATTAGCACTTGGTCAATACTGATATTCCCCAGGGCAAAACTCATTTTAACTGTTGTGTCTCCAGTATGGACTGCGAGTGCTATGAAGACAGCTGTAAGGGGCTCTGGTTCTTTTAACCTCACCCTCGTCTCCTTCTTGTGGTTTAGATGGTGTTGTGCTGATTGATCCTGAGCTTGTGAAAGGAAAGAAAGGTGAGACGGAGCCCCTTCCGCCCCAGGGAATCAGGGTTTGGGCTCCGGTCTGGCTCTGGCAGGAAGGATGAGACAGGCAGATGGTGGTACTGGGGACCAGCCTGCTCCCCACCCTTCCCACAAAGCATGTCCTGCTCACACTGCAGCTTGCTGGCCTCAGTGTGCCATGGGCTGGGGTGGCCAATGGGTGAGAGATTAGCAGAATCTACACCTGCTTGCTTCATCACCCAGGGCGCTCATCCCTGTGTCATGTGATCCTAGGCCAACAGCAAACACAGGATGGCTCCTTGTATCTGAAAGGCTAAGGATTGAAACTCAGAATTTATGATTTCTTTTTTTATTATTTGAGGGAGAAATATCTTTCATTCACTGTCGCACTCTCCAAGTGCCTACAGCTGCCAGGGCTGGGCAGGCCAAAACCAGGGGCCTGGTACTCAAACCATGTCTCCCATGTGGGTGACAGTTCCTGTACCATCCTGCTGTCTCCCACGACGTACATTAACAGGAAGCTGAATAGAAGCAGAAGAGCCAGGCCCTGAACCAGGCACTTGTATACCAAGAACCCCAGAACACATCACAGCATTGTGGTTGTGATAACTATTGCATACGCTGAATTGGCACAGATTCCACATACCCTGAGGACAGTGTCACTAACTGGTCTGTGTTAACTGTGCCTTTTGAGAGGATATGCTGTCCATCACTGCCCACCACCCTGGGTCTGCCTGCCCGGAGAAGTCTGGTGCAGGGCCATCAGCAGAGACAAGGACAATGGCAGAAACAGGGGCCGAACAGCAACCCCCTCTGTGGTCCCCACCTTGTGACCTGCACCCTGCAGGCTCAGCCCCTTCCTCACACTAACCTCACGAAGCTGAGTGGACCCTGCCCGACGCTCTCTGCATCTCCTTCCCAGTGTTCGTCTCCCTGACCTGCGCCTTCCGCTATGGCCAGGAAGACATTGACGTCATCGGCCTGACCTTCCGCAGGGACCTGTACTTCTCCCGTGTCCAGGTGTACCCTCCCGTGGGCACCACGAGCGCCCCCACCAAACTGCAGGAGAGCCTGCTCAAGAAGCTGGGGGCCAACACATACCCATTCTTGCTCACGGTGGGTGATGCCCGACCCTGCCCTCATCCCCGGCCCTCCTTCCTTCTCCCACAGCACATTGGGATGGGATGGGAGCAAAGGGAAGGGGCTAGAGGGTTGGGATAAGGGGTAGAGGGTAAGGGCTTTGCATCTGTGGGGCTGTGGATTGCAACCTTCAAAGAAATTTTAGATTGAATGGTCTGTGATTGTCTTTTTTTTAAGTCCTTGAAAACAACCTCTTAGCCTGGCTGGCACCACTGCAGCCTACTGTTTAAACAGTGCCCTTCATCCAACTGCCTAATTACACGAGCGTGTGTTGTCCCTTTGCCTGCTTAGCTATAAAAAGAAGCCTCACAGGAGTGTCCCTCCTCTGGCCCTGGGGCAGTTCCAAGGTACAATAGACATCAGTGAGTTAACACATGGTCTTAGCTTAATCCACAGCTTGCTGTGCCCCAGGAGCTATGTCCTTCTAACTCTCCCCGAGTCCTGCCTCACCCTGCCAAGTCCGGCTCTGTGAAGTCGTGGGTGTGAGCTTGGAATGGGGAAGTCAGGCCACCTACTTTCCTAGCATGCGTATTTGTCTTAAGGTCATATAACTCTTCAGGTTATATGGTTCAGCCCTAAAAGGGAATGAAATTACCCCTCTCCACACACCCCTACTTGGATGAACCTTGAAGGGATTGTGCAGTGTGATTAAAAAGCCAGCCAAGACTGTAGATGTGCACCTGTAGCTGGTTCATGGAGGCACCAGATTCATTGAGACGGAAAAGAGAGGGGTGTTTCCCCCAGGCTGGGGAAGGGGATTGGGGAGTTGGGGTTTCACAGGTGGGAGGGTGACAGAGTTTTGCAGGGGATGGAAGTGATCTTTGAAGAGGAACCAGAAGGTACTTAATGCCAAGCAACTGTGCCCTGGAAACAGTCAATTCTATATCAATCTATTTCACCATGATTTTTTTTTTAATAAAATCACTTTTTTAAAAGTTACACCACCTGGGGCACTCCCGTGCACCTGTGTTGGAATTTTGGTGTAACTTATCCTTATAGTGAGCACGCATCAGCATTCATCAGAGACATTAAAAGTTGTGATTTTGACCCCAGTAGTTTGCCTTCTAGCAGTGCACTTGTGGACTAATTGAGCTGCAGGGGTGCTGACGTGTTCGAAGCAGTGCATTTATCAAAGCATTGTTTATGATGGCAGAAGTGTAAACGACCATGTCAGCAGCCAGCGAAAGGGGCCCCAAAAGCACTGACACAGAGTGGTGTGCGTGGTAGGGGAAAGGATGGTGATGCCCTTGACGCAGGCCAGGCAGACCGTGGGGCGTGCACGTGCTCGGTCCCTTTTCTGTAAGACACAAGTGCATACACACTCCTGTGTCTTTGGTGTGCCCATGGGGCGTCCTGGGAAGGCGATGCTGGTTACTCCGGCTGACAGAAATGTAGGAGAGTAAGTTTTTTCATCTTTTTTCCTTGCTGATCATCTTGATTGTTCCCTTCTTGTGATAATTTACGTATTACACATAGAACAAATCCCTCTGAAAGATACACTGGGCTTTGTGTGTTTCTTTCCGCAGTTTCCTGACTACCTGCCGTGTTCAGTGATGCTGCAGCCAGCTCCCCAAGATGTGGGTAAGGTGAGTTCTTGAAGAAACGCCACTGCTTGGCGGCTGATTCCTCTGGTAGGCTTTGCAAAACAGCCACAGAAAACTTCAAACGCACACCAAGGTAGAGAAACCAGAGCAAAGACTCCTTAAGTTGCCATCAACAGTTCTGAGTGATGAACAACGTGAGAGAGAGATGGGCCTCACATGTGAATGGAAAGTCACACAAAAGCCAAGTAACAAGTGACCACACACCCCAGGAGATGGCAGCAGACACTGGTGGAGACAGGAGGCCAAGGGGTGGCTACGGGTGGCGGGCTGTTTGTTCGGGATGTTTAAAGGCCTCTGATAAAGTGGAGGCAAAATCCCAGTGCTCCAGGGGAGAACCTTCCAGGCCAGGGGAGCTCCCTCTCTTCCGGGGCTGAGGGAAAGGGTGCAGCCGGGACCAGGAGGATCTCATAGACCATCCCAGGGCCTTGGGTTTCTGCCTGCCTGGCCCTGGAGCCGCTGGCAGGCTCCGATGGACAAGTTCTGACTCAGGGCTCCAAGAGGTGACTCTGGCCCCTGTGGCATGGAGTTCGAGTTGGTGGAGCCAGTACTTTGAAGAGGGAGAGAAGCCGAGGAGTGGAGTGTGTGTGAGCTGTGAGCCACCGGGATGGACCTAGAGTCTGCAGGCGGGCAGAAGGGGAACTCCAGGAGAGGGGCCGGCTGCAGGGACCCACGGGTAGCAGCCCTGACAGTGTCAGAACCTGGGGGTTCAGAAGGGAGGCAGCTCTGAAGATGAGAGGTGTCAGCAGGGGGTGGTGGTCTCAGTGTGAGATGTGGAGGGACAGCAACCGACAACAGCTAGGGCCAGGACTTAAGAGGGAAGTGTGGTTGGTGAAATGGATGCAATGGGTCAGAAATGGGATGGAGTGAAGTGGAACAGAAATCTTGGAGCACACTGCAAGTTACAAAGCACAGTGTCATGTGACGAGGGTCGTTTTGTACATGTGTGTCCGCCTTCCGGGTCATATTGCAAGCCCCATTTCTGAACACTTCCAAAAGCATGGGTCCTGGGAAACGAGGGCATTGGGGAAGACAAGGTCATGAAAGAAGCAAGGGTCTAGGAGTTCCCCTAACACATCCCCATTCGGTCAGATCTCGCAGCGCGCTCACAGAGACCGGAACATGGGTTCTCGGGAGCCTTTCTCGATTTGCCTCCATGATGAACTGGCCAGAGTGCTCTTGACTCAGAAGAGGCAGAGGAGGGAGGGCTCTGAGGAAGAGGGTGTCCTGGCTGGAGACTTGGGGCTCTGCATACAGAGGGCTCTTGGAGCTGGAAGAATATATAGGAATTTGTAAGATTATACACATATATGTATTGTGTTTTACATAGTAAACAGTAATTGTGTATCCTATGGTCACATCTGTATATGCAACTATCCATCAAATAATCACATAATAATTATGGCTCATAAGCTACCTGTATCATTATATGGAATATATAATATTAAGAAATAAAATATTGAATCTTATATACAGATGTTATGGATGTAATCTACAACATATAGTATTACAGAATATATAGGATATATATTATCTGTTATATATAATCCTATATAAAATATGTGATGTGTCATCTGTACTAGTGTATAGTATATGTGGTAATTAATGCATTATACCAATGTATCATACACTGTAGCACTGACAGATGTTTACATGGTGCAGCTGTTGAGTGTAGGAGAAGCCTGTGGGAAGCAGGCCCAATAGGTGCCCCATGGAGAGAGGTCACCTCGTGCAGAGCAGCATTACTGGGATGGCACAGAAGACGCAGGGGACCAGCTGGACAAGACAGTGAGAGTGGGCAGGTCAGCAAGGCCTGGGTAATGGCAGGCAATGATGTGTATTTATTTTTGACCCAGAACTTAGAATTGTCCTGAACCCACAGTTGTGAAACCCAGGCTTCTGGGGCTTCCAGGTCACCGGCAACACAGCTGGTTCCGTGGTTGGCCATGGCTGGGCAGCAGCTGACCACTGTGGTCAGGGTGTCCCCGCCCTTGCAGTGCCTTTGAGAACTCTCCCTCCGCCCCTCCCAGTGGTCTGTGAATACCTGCCCTAGGCAGCGGGAAGTTGGTGACACACATGCAGGCCATGGCAGAGAAAAACAGCTAAGCGTTTGAGGCCAGGGAAGACCAGCCAGGACGTGCCAGCCACAGGCCACAGACAACAGAGGGACACATCTGGAAGGCTGACCCTGCTGCCTCTGGCAGCCCACAGCCCACAGCTTGTGTGGTGTCATCCCTTGGTCACCACTGCACATCTATACCTTATCTTCATGGAGAAGGCTACGATGAAAGGCACAGCCCATGTGAGGTGTGCCCTTTGTGGCCCCCCCAGCAGGGGTGGCACTGATGGATGCCTGTCTGTTCTTGTCCCCCACAGAGCTGCGGGGTGGACTTTGAGGTCAAAGCATTCGCCACCGACAGCATGGACAGTGAAGACGACAAGGTCCCCAAGAAGTGAGTGTGTTGTGGGGAGAGGAGGATGCGGGCTGTGGGTGTGCTCCAGGCAGTGGGACTCCCAGCTCGGAATAGCTAAGGACAGAACAGCAGACCATCTGCATGTGATGTAGGAAAACAAAAACAGAGGTGCTCGCCATCTCCACGGTTCCTCCGAGCCCCTAAAAGCTCCCCAAATCCCCTTTTCTTGAAAAAGACAATGTTTCTTATGTGGAACAGTACAGTGCAAGCAGTGAGCACTGAGCCTAGTTCCACGGCCACAGCTGGCAGCAGAGTGCTGGGGCTGAATGTGCTGCTCTGCCCCTAACTGCCGCTTCCTGCTAACTCCGACCCTGTTGGCTCGGGGACTGTGCTCCTGCCACACGGATAGGGTCCTGGATGGAGTTCTTGGCTCCCGGCTGAGACTCTCCAGCCACTGTGCGCCATTTAGCCGAGAATTCTTCCTCTGAAATTTTCCGTGTTGGCTTCTCCTGGAGTAGGGTTCGGAGGTGTGAAACACATTCAGTGAAATGCGGCCATCACCACCTTGCATCAGGCAATCATCCCACTCTATTCTCTGGCTTTCCAGCCCCTGCTGCTCACTTTTCATTCCTAGACAAGACAGCCATGTACATCCTTGCCATGTCCTTCTCATGCAATGATGATGATTATACAGCCATTGTATGTGACTTTGCGTGGAGCTCTGAAACCAGATCACATAGGCACATGACATAGGCCTACCCAAGGCAGAGCCAGAGCCTGTCGGAGTGGGAAGGCCCTGTGGAGAAGCGACCAGGGTCCAGATCTCCCAGTCTGCCTCTCCTTCAAGACTGCCCAGCCTGGTGGGCCTGCCTCCTTGGTCTTCCCACCTCCACCAGAGGCACTCTTAAAGACTGTGGGGAGGGTGCCTGGAGATGGTGCTGCAGCTGTGCCTCGCTGCCAGTGTTCTCAGGCCTCTCTCTGTCCTAGGAGCTCTGTGCGCCTCCTGATCCGCAAGGTGCAGCACGCTCCAGTGGAAATGGGCCCCCAGCCCCGCAACGAGGCATCCTGGCAGTTCTTCATGTCGGACAAGCCCCTGCACCTCTCCGTGTCCCTCAGCAAAGAGGTAGCCCGCTCTCTGACCCTGCAGCCCTCGGGGACAGGGCCCAGGCCAGGGCTTGCAGCCTCCTGTGCACAGACCCGCGCTCCCACCCCAGCCTCCCAAGTGAAGTGTGGAGTGTGTCACAAGCCCCAGTGTTGCAGTGGCCTTGGGTTAGGGTCCCTAGCTGCCATTGCACTCACTGTTGAATCTGGTAGACCCCTGGCAGGCTATGGGAGGAGTTTGCACCCCCACCCCAGCTTCCTTTACTCTGCACCCCCGTGGATCCCATTCACTAACAAAGCAGCAATACATGTGCACATCATAGACAGGAAGTTCAAGCTTTGCAGAAACTGGGTGACTGTGTCCCATGTGATGTCCCCATCAGGGGGTCATGGACACCACAGGTGAGGAGCTGCTGGGAGAGTGCTTCTGGTCTCCTGATTGGCAGCAGTCAGTCAAACATGCATGTAGCCAAGAGACCACACAACCGTGTGTGTGCGTCTGAATGTGCAGAAGGCACCAAGGGCCCGTTGGAGAGTGCCAGCACCAGGCTTCATGTGGTTGCCATTCATCACACTCCTCCTGCCCTGCAGCCTCACAGTTTACCCAAGCCTGCCGCCTCCTCTGCTCACTGTGATATAGCCCTCCAAGCCCCATTCCAGACCCTTTCCTAAACAGGCAACTGTGGCTAACACTTCACTTGCCCCAAAAGATGGAGGTTCCTCCACGCTCAGGCTAAAGGATGAATGACTCCCAAGAGCCTGCCTGTGAGGCCACTGCCCCCGCGCTCCCCTTCTGACTGGTCCACTAATCCTGGCTCTAGGTTTATTTCCACGGGGAACCCATCCCTGTGACTGTGACTGTGACCAATCACACGGAGAAAACGGTGAAGAAGATCAAAGTAATAGGTAAGACTTCTCAAAACTAGAGGGTGGAAGACTTCACAGGGCTTCTGCACTGCATTCAGCTTCCTAAAGGCCATCGCTGGTCCACTAGGAACTGTCTGCCATCATAGACAACAGGGCCTTCAAAGTGATCTCATTTAACCTCCTGCTTCCCCAGGGCGGGCTCTTTGTCTTGGGACAGCATCCCCAACTGGCCATCTTCCTGTTTGTCCATGGGCCTCCCTTCCCAGAAGGGCCCCTGCTAGCCAAGGTTCCATGGGAAGCCAGGAGTGGTGTCTCTTTGGCCCAATGATGATTTCTGCTGCCAGAGGCAGAGCAGTGGGAGAGGCACAGACTGGGACACATTGGACTGCTTTGTGGGCCCACGAAGTCGCCCCTGAGGCCCAGGTGGCATCCTCTGCAGGACCCGCTTGTCCTAGGTGCATGAGGCTATCAGGAGAATGTCCCATGTGGCAGTGTCTGGTAGTGGCAAAGGGCAATCAGCTTGTTCTACAGGGCCCTCACCACATGCCATGTGGGAGATGTCTCCTGCTTGCTGCTGTTTTCCCAGCTTAGAGGATGTCACTGTGCAGGGGGCTTCAATGTTGTTGTTGTTAAAGATTTATTGATTTTGGGTCTGCCATGGTAGCCTAGTGGCTAAAGTCCTTGCCTTGCACATGCCAATTCTGGTCCCAGTGGCCCCACTTCCCATCCAGCTCTCTGCTTGTGGCCTGGGAAGGCAGTGGAAGACAGCCCAAAAGCTTGGGACCCTGCACTCGTGTGGAGACCCAGAAGACGCTCCTGACTCCACATCAGCTCAGCTCCAGCCACTTGGGGAGTAAACCATCAGACAGCAGATCTTTCTCTCTGTCTCTCTTCCTCTCTGTAAATTAGCCTTCCAATTTTACTTGAACATCAGAGTTACACAGAGAAAACGAGAGAGAGAGAGTTCTTCCATCTGCTGATTTACCCCCGCAAATCCTACAATAACCAAACTAGGGTGGTATAGAGCTAGGAACCAGGCCCTTCTTCCAGCTCCACCGTGAGTGCAGGGGCCCAAGGACTCTGGTCATCTTCTGCTGCTTTCCCAGACCACAAGCAGGGAGCTGAATCATCATTGAAACAACTGGGACTCAAACCAGCATCTGTGTGGGATGCCAGCACTGCAGGCGGAGGATTAGCTTGTTAGGCCACCATGCAGCCCCTGTGATGAAGCCTTGTGTGGGCCACATAGAGAACCTGTGACAAAATAGCCCAGGAAGGAACCTCTGAGCTCCGACATTTGGTGACCAAGACACAGACTGCTGGTGCTCAGCTTGCCCAGGACTAAGGGTGGGTCCCAGGCAAACTGAGGCAGCTCTTCGCCCCAGATGTGTGCTGTGATCTGGAGGTGTCCCCCAAAAGTTTATGTGTTGGGAATTGAGCTCTGCGGTCCCTCTCTTGATGGTGGTTGAGGATACATGGGGTTAGCTGAGATAGTCGGGTGATGGCAATAGTGACTTTCCGAGACGGAGCCCCAGCACTGCTACCTTGTCCCTCTACTATGTTGGGGCTCGGTCAGGAGGCCCTCACCAGATGCCAGTGCCCTGTTTTTGGCATCGCCAGCTGCCAGGCCCATGAGCCCAACAAAATACCCTTATAAGGAGCTCCGTCTGTGACTGTCACATGAAAAGTCTCCAGCAGGTTCATGGAAATGCATATGAAAAAAAGAAACCACTATGCTTAGATAGTAAAAAAAAAAAAAAAAAATTAGACCCAAATGATCTTTTCAAAGCTTTTAAAAAGTAATTTGTTTGTTTGAAAGGCAGACGATAGGAATAGAGTGAAGGAGGGAGAAAGAAGAGAGAGCACACAGCATTTCCGTCTGCTCACTCGCTGGCCAAGCAGCTGCAGTGGCCAGAGCTGGTCCAAGCTGAAGCCAGGGGCCAGGGGCTCCATCCTGCTCCTCCACAGGAGTGGCAGGGGTCCCAGCACTTGGGCCATATTCCACTGCCTAGCTGGATTAGAAGCTGAGCAGCTGGGTCTCTAATCAGTGTTCTGATTCAAGATAACAACATTGCATGCAGGTGGCTTAACCTGTTGCACCACAACGCCAGGCCCTGGGGCTTCAGATTTCAGCATTTAAATCCTGAGGGAATAAAGAGTTCAGATCCTCACAGCAGAACTGATAAAATAACTTCTGAAATTTTGCTTTAAAATGAGTTCTCAGAGTTTTATGAATCCTTAGCCAGGAAGCCACTACCCTTGAAAAAAACGCTGTTGAATATTCTGAAACAAAATCATGAACAGCTTTCCCGCAGGCGGGCCCGGTGCCCAGGGCTCCTCGCGCATTGTTCCTTTTCATCCTCCCACCTGATGGTGAAGGAGATCGAAAGTCATCTTGTTAATCCTCGCAGCCGCCCCAGGAGCCTGCTGCAATTACCCCGCACTCTGCTGATGGAACGGGGAGGTGCTAAATGCTTCACAGCACAGCTGAAGGCTCTCAGAGAGCTGAGCTCCGGGCGGGTGGCTCGGGCCGCCTTCCCAGACCCCACCAGGCACCTGGGAATCCCTCCTGCCGCGCCTCCAGCTGGCTCATATTCGGATACCTGTTACCAACCCTACAGGCTGCTGTTGCGGGGTCGTGGGCATGGGATGCTGGAAGACCATGTGCACACCCAGAGACATGCCCTGTGCTCAGAGGAGAGGCGGGGTCTCCCAGGAGCTGCGGGCTTAGAGACCGGTTTGTGGGCAGGAGGTGATGCAGAGCAGAACATGAGAGGACTGAAATCATTCCAGGAGAGAGCTTGGGAACCATGGGGTACACGCTGAGGGCTGAGGAGTCTGAGCCTGGGGAGCAGACAGACACAGTGCCCAGCAGGAGGGCCCAGCCGTGTTCCCTTGGAGGCTAGAGCACCCAGCATGTGCATGGGGGAGTGGGGACCGGGAGCTGTGGCCTGTCACCCGACTCCTCTCCTCCTTTGCAGTGGAACAAGTGGCCAATGTGGTGCTCTACTCGAGTGATTATTATGTCAAGCCCGTGGCCATGGAGGAAACGCAGTAAGTAGGGGTGGCGGTCCCATTTCCTGGGCAGCCCTGCCTTCTTGATCAGGCTCCTTTCATTCCTTGCCCAAGAAGGAACTAGGATGCTTGGGAACCACTGGCTGTCCACTTCCTTCCCGCTGCTTGCTTCAAGGACAGCAAAGAGTGGAACATCTCAGTCCTAGATTTTCCTTATCCCATGGCATCCAGCTCCTAGGAGAAAGGCGGCAGCAGGTCTCTGGGGGAGCAGCCTGGTCTTTCTGTTTGTGTCAGAGCCCCTGGCACAGGGTCCCAAGGACCTTAGGCCAGCCTAGGATGCTTTGATCTCAGAGCATCCTGTAGATGACAAAGACGTCTGTTTTTAGCCCTTATTGTGAATGACTTATCTCCTTCCATTAAAATAAAAAACGAGTGGGAATCCTGCAGTTGTTCCTGCATGTGGCCGCGGAAAGCTGGCAGGCTTCATTGCCCTGAGGAATCGGATCCACCTCCTGGCCGGGCCCCAGGTCCTGGGGGGATTGCTTCAGAAGACCCTTTCTTGCTCTCCAGTGTGCATATTCTAAGTGCCGCTGTCTGTGGAAAATGTTACCAGGGTTAGAGGAAGGGTGAGGCGGTGAGAGACTCACCAAGTGTTGATGTTGACATTACATAACCTTGGGAAAGTAACTTTGGGGAAAACTGTTACTCAAAACAGACTCAGCCTGAGGTTCAAGTTCAGCTCTACAGCAGAGGGAAGCAGGGAAAAGCCACAGCTCACCAGCTGCCTCCTGAACGCCAGACCTGGAGGCTGTGCCGCCTGGTTGTGCTTAGGGTGTCTGTTCAGCGAAATGGCCTGGCCGAGCCTCCTCCTAATGCACTCACATTTATTCCCCCCCTTTTGTTTTTCTTTAAGATATAGTTCTCTGAAAGGCACGGAGAGTGAGTGAAGCCTTCCATCTACTGGTTCACTCTGCAGCCAGATCTGAACCAGGCTGGAGCCAGGAGCGTGGACCTCCACTGGGTGGCTTTCTTAGTTGTATTGGCAGGGGTCTGGGTGTATTGGGGCAGCTGGCGCTCTGATAGGGGATGCAGTGTTGCAAGCTATGGCTTAACCCGCTTCACCACAAACTGGTCCTACATGGTCCTCTTTTAAAATTTTTGGGATTGTTTGGGGCCAAATGATTGCCAGGAAACTGATAACCATTCTAAGATTCCATCCCTACCCCGAGACTTGAGGGGGGTACTAGGAGCTGGGTTGGAACATGCTAGGGGGTGAGGTCCCCCAGAACACTACAGAGCACGAGCTGCTGCCAGGTCCCCATTTCTCCAGGAGGGGAAAGGCCTGCATAGAACCTGGATCTGGCATTCAGCTGCTGCCCACTATCCGATGATCCCAGTACCTTCGGGCCCCAGGGCCCCGGCACGCTCCTTGGGCAAGTTATATTGCTAGAAAGGCTACTACCAACTGCAACTGCAAGCACCCCCCCCCATCCTCTGGGCATCTTTAAATGCTGTGCCTGCTTTCGTCAAAGCTGCTTGCTCAATGAAGCTCTTCAAGAGTGCAGATGGCCGGATGTGGGCCACCCTGGGCTCCCGCACAGCTCTGCAAACAGCTTCCTGTGTGCACTGGAAGCCGGATATGCCACAGCTGTCTAAGCGCCTGGGGAGCCCTACGAGGGAAGTCTTTCCCCAGGGAGGTCTGTCAAGCTTCCCACTGTCCGGGAACTGGCACAGCATGCTGCTTGTTCCCAGTAGTGCTGGCAGGCCCCTGCCCAGCCTTCCCTTGGCCAGGATGTGGCACCCACAGGGACACTGCAGGAAGAGCCGAAGCAGCTGTGACCCGGGACAGGGTGACAGGCTGTGAGGTTGGGCCTCAGCCCCTGCCCTGGACGTGTTGCACACCTCCATGGCCTGGCCCATTCTCCTGTCAAACCCAGAAGGAGCACATGCTGCTGCTGCTATGTCCCCCAGCTCGACCCCACGGCCTCCTTGGGCACAGGGTCCCCACCCTCCATCCCATGCTGGACAGCTCACAGCTTGACCGGTCATTGAGAAGAGGCAGTGGCAAAAGAACATGTGGAAGGCATGCCAGTCTAGCCTCTGGCTGATCCTGCTCCATGACCTTCCCCCAGCCAAACTCTGAGAGCCAGAGACTTGAGCCTGGGTGACTCCCCAGCCTGGGCTCATTGCTGGCGCTGACTGGCAGGTGCCGCAGCCGGCTGTATGGCTCACACTCTAAGGAGGGGGCTGGCTGGGCCTCTGGCCCTGGGCAATGGGCTTCAGCAAACCTCACAGAATGCCCACAACAGTCCATAACCCAGAGCAGGCAGGCGAGGCCTGAGCTCTCGGGTTAGTATTGCCGCCAGCACTGCCTGCTGCTCCTCACCAGGCAAGCACACCGGCCCGACCGCCTTTCCCGGGAAGCCAAGAAGGGAACTCAGAGCCTGAAAACCGCCCTGCCACCCACAGCAAAGCCCGAGTCGCGGCGCGTGACCAGTGACTTGTGGTTCTCAATTTGCTGCCTGTTCTTCCTCTTCCTCCAGAGAAAAAGTGCTGCCAAACAATGCGCTGACCAAGACACTGACGCTGGTGCCCTTGCTGGCCAACAATCGCGAGCGAAGAGGCCTGGCCCTGGACGGGAAGATTAAGCATGAGGACACGAACCTCGCCTCCAGCACCATGTGAGTCCTTGGGCTTCCAGACAGCTCACCAGGGGCCCGCTCAACCAGGCTGTCATGCCAGCAGGCAAGAAGGTGTGGGGAGCAGCCAAGGGGTCAGAAGGCAGGTGAGCATCAAAGGCTTTTCTGGGGGACAGACTGTGGATTCTAAGAGCAGGTTTCAGAAGCTGAGGAGGGCACACACCAGGGGGCACTGATTCCTGACATCAGCCTGGGCAAGGGCACATTGCTGGAATGCTGTGCGGTGTACACCCCAGCCCACACACACGTGTGCATGTCTTGGTGAGGAAGTGTGCTTGTGCCCATCTGATGGTTCAGGGAACTGAGCTTGAACCAGAATGAGAGACTTGTCTGTGCATCTGTGAGCAGCTGGCCAGGTCCAGGGGACCCCACCCCAGACTCCTGGGGCCAGACACTGTCCTGTGGGCGGAAGCTGCCTGAGAACACTCCTCGCCCTGCCCAGAGCTGTCGATGGATCCTCTCCTGCTGACCACCTCCAGCCCAGTTTTCTTCTCTTGATTCACACTATTTTGTCTGGAAGTTTTGAATGGTTTTCCACCCCTCACTGAATGTGTTGGTACACATGAAATAATTATGTGAGAGCGTGTCTGTGGTGACACCCATCCGGTCACAGTGATCCCACACATGGTAGAGACGTCTAAAAGAATGTTTCTGTTGAGGAAAGACAAGCTATGCTCTCCTGGAGGGAGATCTCAACGCGCATTGTTCATTCACTTAAACAAAGTGCGCACTGGGTGGAGGGCACAGTTCTGGCTGCTGGGGATGTGGCTCCATTGGGGACATCAAGGTCCATTCCAATGCCCTATGCTAAGGCTCTGTGTGATTCCATGTGAGGGGCAGAGCTGCCCGGCAGGTGTCCAGGAACATATCACAAGGCAAAAGTGGGCAGGGTCTTGCCACTTGAGGTCTTTTTTTTTTTTTAATTCTTGAAATTTGTCATACAATTCTGTATAGTCTAGGATTCCGCTCTCCCCTATTTTCCACCCCCCAAATTGATTTTTTCCATAATGTCACACTTTTCATAAGGAGTTCCAATTCCATCAGTCTGCTATTTAAGTGTGCCCCAACAATACTGGTACAGACAGTCTGTGTTTAGCAAGGCTGGCACATGGGAACCCTGGGGCATAGCCAGGTTATGAGAAGGCAAAGGCAGGTAGAGGCCAATTACAGGTTGCCTGCCAGGGTTTGGTTCTGGGAGAGCTCTCTGGCTGCAGAGCGGCTGACAAGCTCAAACTGAGAGCTTAGCTCCTGTGGATGTGGCAGGTGCGTGAGCATGGGGGAGATGGGTGGGGGTGCAGCAGGTGCGTGAGCATGGGGGGAGGTGGGTGGGGGTGCAGCAGGTGTGTGAGCATGGGGGGAGGCAGGTGGGGATGCGACAGGTGCATGAGCTCGGGAAGGCATGGCATGGAGAAGGAGATGGGAAGATGCAAGGATTCCTCTGATGCTGACAGCAACCCCCCTCCCCTGCTGAGTTGGTGATGTTCCATTGCCCTTCTGCTGCTCTCATCCTCCTCCCCCCACCCCTTTTCTGTTTGGACAGCATTAAGGAGGGCATAGACCGGACCGTCCTGGGCATCCTGGTGTCCTACCACATCAAGGTGAAGCTCACAGTGTCAGGGTAAGTGTCCCAGGGCAATGCTTGGTCTGCTGCATTTCTTTCTTTTTTTATGATTTATTTTAATTTTTGAAAGGAAGAGTTGGGGGATGGAGGGAGGGAGGGACAGAGAGAAATATCTTTCATCTATTAGTTTACTCTCCAAATAGCTGTCATGGCCAGGGCTGGGCCAAACTGAAGTGAGGAGCCAGGTCTCCACATGGATGGCAAGAACCCAAGTACTCAGGCCATCTCCTGCTGCTGTCCCTGGCACATGAGCAGGGACATGGATCAGAAGCACACCAGCAGGGATTCATTTTAATGTTTATTTATGTGAAGACAGAGACAAAAAGAGGGACACACAGAGAGATCTCCTACCTGCTGGTTAGCTCCTGAAATGCCTGCAACACCCAGGGCTGAGACAAGATAAGGCTAGGAGCTGAGGACTCAGGCTGGGGCTCCCTGATGGGTAGCAAGGACAGAACCACGCGCACCATCACCTGTTGCCTCTCAGGGGACATACTAGCAGGAAGCTGGAACTAGAAGCAGAGCTTGGACCCATACTCAGGCCCTGTGATGTGGGATGCAGGCGTCCCTGACAGCTCCACCTGCCGCTCCACACGCCAGCCCCAGAGCTGCTGTGTGCCCAGTCCTGAGTCTGTGACACCACCATGTGTGGAAATCTCCTCTTCAGCAAGAATGTTCATGTCTAAGTGTCTAGTTCTAATTGCCTTTTAAAATATTTTTAAAAATCCATTTCTTCTATTGTTTAGTGTCTTTTTTCAGAAAAAAAGATTTATTTATTTTTATCAAAAGGCAGATTTATGGAGAGAAGGAGATATAGAAAGATTTCTGTTAACTGGTTCACTCCCCAAGTGGCTGCAATGACTGGAGCTGAGTTGACCCAAAGCCAGGAGCTTCTTTCAGGTCTCCCATGTGGGTGCAGGGTCCAAAGGCTTTGGGTCATTCTCTACTGCTTTCCCAGGCCACAAGCAGGGAGCTGGAAGGGGAGTGTAGCAGTTGGGAAACATACCAGCACCCATATGGGATCCTGACATGTGCAAGGCGACGATTTAGTCACCAGACCATTGTGCTGGGCCCTAGTGTCTTTTTTTTTTTTTTTTTTTTTTTTTTAAGATTTATCTTTATTTTTGCTGGAAAGGCAGATTTACAGAGAGAAGGAGAGGCAGAAAGATGTTTCATCTGCTGGTTCATTCCCCAAATGACTGCAATGGCCGGAGCCGAACCAATATGAAGCCAGGAGCCAGGAGCTTCTTTTGGGGCTCCCATATGGCTACAGGGTCCCAAGGGTTTGGACCATCCTCGACTGCTTTCCCAGGCCGTAGTAGACACATGCAGAGAGCAGGAATGAACTTGAACGTAAAGGGAAGCTGTGAGTTAGAGAGCACGGGAAAGGAGACCTGCCACAGCTGTACGTACTGGGAAATGAAGTCGCAGCTGCACTGTAGGCACTCGCTTAACCTGTTGCTTTTGTTTCTAGGTTACTGGGAGACCTCACCTCCAGGTAAGCCTCTTATTCCTCTGCCTGATGCCAGGCTACAAGGATAGCAAACCTGGGGGTTCTCAAACAGTCCCTGGAAGGCTGGCTCTGAGCAGCTGGGCCCTGATGGGGTTCTGAGCAAAGTCCCTGGCCCCGTGAGCTTCCATAAGCCCTGGCTGCTAGGTCTGGGCCTGGGATATTTCTCTGAGAGCCTTGCTAGGCCTACACGGGGGCAAGCTGCTCACAGACATGCACAGCCAGAATTTGAATATATTTTCCAAGCAGCTGTCATGCATGTTTGTGTGTTAGAATACACGTTATGTAATTTTTTTTTTTTTTTTTTACCATTTTACTTGAAGTGCACAATTCAGTGGTACTGAGTATGTCTGTAAGGTCATAATCAGCCCCACTGTGTAGTTCTAGAACATCTTTAATGTTCCTTAAGGAAACTTGACACCCCTTAAAAAGTCGCTGTCGGTTCTCCTCCCTGTGGTCCCTGGCAGATGAGGCTGCTGTCTGTCCCCACGGAGCTGCGTGTCTCGAAGAGCATGCACAGCTGGGGTCAAACTATGACCTTTTGGGGTCAGGCTCCTTCACCGAGCGTGTTGTCCACGGCCCATCCGTGTTCCAGCATGTGTGAGGGCCTCAGGCCTGTGCTTGGACAAGTCCTGCTCCTTTACATGGCTGTGCTTGGCTTGCTTGTGATCTGTTGGTGGACATCAGGGCTACTGCACCGCTGGACTGTGGCCTTTTAAATCCCCCAGCAAGCAGCAGCAAGTTGAGAAATGTCCAAATAGGACTTGAGATGACATGTCCTTCTCCACCCCAGCTCTAACCTCCCAGAGCCCCTGGGCGCCCGGGTGGTTGTAAACAGATGGGCGCTGAGCAAAGGTCAGTCTGGGGAGGAGCCAGGGCGTCCAGGGCAGGCAAGGAGCAGCACCTCTCTCCCCTACTGCCCCTTCTGCCTGTCTCTGCTCTCCCAATTGACTGCCCGTCCCCTCCCCAACTTTTTTTTTTTGCTGAACTCCAAGTTGTCCCAGAGCCAGCTTTGGAATTCGGTGGACTCTGCTCCTCTCTCTGCCACGGCCCACAGCACACTGACCTCATGTGGGTTTTGGCAGATCCAGGAGGTATGCGTTACTGCCTGTCGTATTTTGGAAGGTTTCTCCTTGCTTCTGAACTTCACCTCCACTCAACCCACAATATCCTGTCCCCACAGCTAATCAACAGAAGCGCGGAAATCCTAAAAATATCCGCAGTCAGCCGTGCCCCAGCGAAGCTTCTGGACCACATTCCAGGGAATATGTTGGGAATTCCTGCTTTGACCACTTCCTGATCTCTGCTCTGTTTTCCTTGTAATTTCCAGTGAATTGTCTTTCAGCTTGGAGCCGAGTCCCCACAGGCACGGCACTTTGCTGTGGGATTTACAATTCTGTGTGTGTGTGTGTTCACGTGTATGTGGGCGTGTGTTCTCACCATCTGTGCTTCTGTCTTCTCTAGTGAAGTGGCCACAGAGCTGCCATTCCGCCTCATGCACCCTCAGCCAGACCCAGGTTAGTCCTGCCATCTTAGGGGCTGCCTCTCAGCCTTATTGCTTCTTAGCCTCTCCTGACTGCATCTCCGAGCCTGGGAGTGGCCTAGCTGTCATCTGTGAGGTGCCTAGGCCTGCCAGGAAGGGAGGGGGCTGCTGTGAGCCATGCCAGGCGCTTGGCCATTGGTAGAGTATGTGGGACCAGGCAGCCTTACCCAGCAGGAGGAGGCCCATCATGAGGTTTCACTGGAAGCCATGTGAAGGTGGCTACTCTGCTTGCCAGCAGCCCTACCTGTAGATTGCAAGGTGATTCAGGTGACAGATAACCGTGAGCACCCACAAAGGCCTCATGTTAGCAGCCACACTTAGCAGGCAAGACACATTTTTTGACAACGTGGTTGTGATGAAAGAACATTAGAAAAAGAGCCAGAGCCCTCAGCTCATTTGGATTGAAAACCCAGGGTACCTGGCTGGACGTGAAGTGAGGTGATGCCACCCTTGGAAACCAGCAAAACAAGCTGCCTGTTAGGAGGTTGGGTAGAGCTCGGAACACTCGCTTACGAATTGTAGATGAAGCAGCAACAGGGGCACCTGTAGCAGAGGTTCAACAACAACAACAAAACTCTCAGGAATTCTGGGGAGAAAGTCCCTAGCAGATGCTAAGGCAGCATAGTGGCAGGAGGGAGAAATGACCAGCGTGGATGGGAACTCGGAACTCGCCCTGGCCCTGGGGATGCCCACCCCACGCAGGGCTCTGCTGCCAGCCCCAGCCGCCTGCTCAGGCAGACCCGCAAGACAGCAGGCGATGGCCGGGTACTTGGCACCTCTGCTGCACACACAGGCTCCTGACTGCAGCCCAGTCCGGCCCCAGCTGCCGTGGGTATTTGGAAAGTGCTGGAGGAAATCCATCACTAGTGGATGGAAGAAGTCTTTCTTTGTCTCTCTGCCTTTCACATAAAAATACAGAACATTTAAAAAAGAACTGTTTATAGCTAAATATTTTAAGTCCCAGTGATAGAAATAAACAGGGTCTATATTTTTTTCCTCATGAGAGCCTTTCCCAATGAAATGACATTTAAATCTGACAAGGAACTCCCATATTTTTTTTCGGGATTTTGTCTCCAAAATATTTTGTGGTAAAGTATCTTTTCCAGATCACTTGGCTTTAGACCCTCAGAACACTTTGCCAAAACCCTCCCTTGGCGGGGGGAAATACAGTGCAGCCATATGTTCTGAATTCATTTGTGTTTGTATCATTAAAACAAGTCCCCCTGTTTTAACCGTGTGTGATGCTTTCTGGTTCCTTTCACGGACGTCAGGAAGCTGCTCACCAGGGCAGAGGTTGTAGTTCACAGTGGGACGTTTTCCGAGCTCTGCACAGTCTTCACGGCCTCAGCTGGGAGAGTGGACTTCTTCCTCCGCCCCATTCGACGTTTTTTTGTGTTCTAGCCATCAAGTCCCTTATAGCGACCATCTCATGATGGAGGCGGTGGGGGAACAGTGTGAAGTTTCAGGGAGCAAGAGTCAGGACAAGCCCCCCCATGGCCACAAAGCTTGCGGTTTCCAGAGGTTTCTGAGGCAGCGAGTGTCAGAGTGCATCTCTGCCCTGCCTGGCTTCTGGCGCTCTCTTAGGTGTGTGGAAGAAAACAGGAGTGCAAGGCAAGCCCCGCCGGGGACCAGGCGATGGACCGGTGATACACGCTGCCTGAGGGCATCTCTGCAGAGCCCACGGTGCCCACTTGACCCTTCCACCTCTGTTGTTTATTTCCCCAAGGCCAAGGGTCCTGGGGCTGCCCTTTCACTGTTCAGTACAGTGGGGCTACAGGGTACTTCTTGCCAGAGCACCTTCTCTTAAGGTGCCCTGAGCCTAGCAGCCCTCCCAGACACCCCCTATCCTGTGCTGGTTTGCCCAAGACACAAAAGTAGTGCCTCACCATCCACCACTGCTGCGTCAGCACAAACCTGTATAGCCCTTTAACTGCCTCGGTGCTGTGTTAGCTAGGCAGAAAGCTAAAAACAACGAAAGACACTCACATCACTCCGTGTGATCTATGGGGAGGATGCAAAAGGTGTGAGAGTATGAGGATGTATACTCCAAAAGGAGCATGTTAACAGAAGCCGAAAACTGGGGGCCTCAGGCTTCAAGGCGCATCACCCACATGGGGACACTGATACATGTCCAGGGCTCGAACCTGATGAAGGGCGACTTGATTGGAGAAGCGCTTGGACACCTCTGGGGTGTGGCTGATCCCATGACAGGTCCCGGATAAGAGGGTTTGGGTTGGGGTAGCTCATACGGGGTGGGGAAGACAAGGGAGTCACGTATGGCCATGCTCCCCCTGCTACTGCCTAGGTAGGCATGATGGCGCATCGATGATGCTAACAGGTGTCTCTCTCTCTCTCCTCTGCCTCCCTGTGTCCTGGCTGACAGCCAAGGAAAGGTGAGCCACTGCAGGGCTGTCCTGAGCTGCCCCTGCCTATGCCTTGCTCCTCCTGCCTGAACTCCTCTTTGCATTCCCCTTGGCCCCACAGCAGCACCTCTGGCAGCCAAACAGCGTCACCCTGGGGTGTGTCTGCTCCCCCAAGGGTGCCCTTGTTCATGCTCATGTTTGTTCGATGAAATGATTTTTCAAGAAAAATGGTACAGTCCCACTTCCATCAGGAAGAAAATGTTGATCTGCTCCTTGGGTGCAAAATAACATCATCTTCATCATCATCAAATGCAACAGATGAAAGGCGTCTTCCCACTCAGGTTTCATCCCCAGATTCAAAGAGCCTGCCCTAATCACCATGTTGACGCCTTCATTTCAGTTTTCAAGATGAAAATCTGGTCTTTGAGGAGTTTGCTCGTCAGAATCTGAAAGACACAGAAGCCGAGGAAGGAAAGAAGGATGAGGCCGGCAACGATGAGTGAGAGCAGCGGCTCCAGACGCCCTGCAGGACCCCTGTAGTCCTCCCCACTACCCTGAGCCCGTAGAGGTATTCCTGCTAAATGCCAGGGCAGGACACTTTCCCACCCCAGAAATAAAGCATGTCTGTCCTACCCCGACTCCGGCTGTGCAGCAGGCTGACTCGCTGGGGATGCCGGTTGGTGCTGTAGAAGGGGCTGCCCTCAGGGTCCCTGGAGGGTGTTGTAGGGGGTGCGGGAGATAGATGAGCAAGGGGCAGTGTGTAGAAGGGAGGTCAGCCTGCCCTAGAATGGCCAGCACGGACTCCTTGCGAGAGGAAGTGCCTGAAGATCACATATTCACCTGGTGGATCCCCAGCGTGGCTGGGGACTTCTCTGGGGGCCTAGTCCTCAGCCATGACTCTGGGAAGGCCTGGGGAGGTGTGTGTGCCTCATTACCTGACCTGGCCCAGCTTCAGGGTCCCCAAAAGTGCCCCCAGCTCAAACATGAAAGGGACTGAGAACAAGTATGGGCAGAAACACTCTAGATGTTCCACTTGGGGGCCAGAGTCCCTGTCTGAGCTGGGTGTTGTCAGCTGAGTTCCCATCGGATTTGAGCAACAGGATCCACCCTGATGTGCTCTGGAGAGGGACACAAGGAAGGCCCTGGAGCAGTCACACAGCTGAGCTGAAGGAAGAACACACTTGCTGGGCACGGGTGCGCAGGGACCACAGCAGCAAGGCCTGGACCACGGGTGCCCGGGCCTCAGCAGCAAGGCCTGGAGCGCCTGCAGTTCAGGGCTATGATCCCTAGTCCCTGGGAGCGGAATCTGGTGGTTTGGCTTTGGTCCAGGTGGATCAACGCCCCATGGGTGATTCCGGCTCTGGGGATGCATTGTCCTAACAAAAAAGAGGTTCATGTGTTTTGGGCTTCCTGCTTAGAGTGCTTCCTTGAGATTGGTGTGAAAAGGGGGAGGAGAGGAAGGTGGGGCTGACATGGGGTGGGGGTAGGGCAGAAGGGTGACGATTCCAGGACCCTTTCCTCCGTGAGGCCCTTCCTTGCCCACCATCCCGACCTGCCCAGTGATGGCAGCAGCAGCTTTTTTTTTTTTTTTTTTATTATTTTTTCATTGGAAAGGCGGATATACAGAGAGGAGAGACAGAGAGGAAGATCTTCCGTCCGATGATTCACTCCCCAAGTGAGCGCAACGGGCCGATAGTATGCCGATCCGAAGCCAGGAGCCTCTTCTGGGTCTCCCACGCGGGTGCAGGGTCCCAAAGCTTTGGGCCATCCTCGACTGCTTTCCCGGGCCACAGGCAGGGAGCTGGAAGGGAAGCGGGGCTGCTGGGATTAGAACCGGCGCCCATATGGGATCCCGGGCGTGCAAGGCGAGGACCTTTAACCACTTGCGCCACCGCGCCGGGCCCGAGCAGCAGCTTTTTTTGGCAGCCATAGCTGGGCGTGGGACGCGTGCAGGTTCTGGCCCTTGGTTTAAGGGGGTTGGAGATAGGAAGGTGAGATGTAGTGGTAGGGTCACGTGTCAGGTGTCCCTTGGAACCAAAAGCAGCAGCAGCAGCAGAGGGCTGGCAGGTGTGGGTTCCGCACATGCCAAGGCTTCAACCCCTGGGAGTGTTTGGCAGGACTCCGGCACGGAGACAAGGGGGTTCACCTGCCACCTTGGACAGGACTTGTGGAGAAGCAGGGCTGCGAGTTGGTGTTGTGTAGGCTGAGCGTGCACATTTGGAACATGGAAACACACATACATAGACTGAAGCTTGTCTTCTGGTCTGCGGGTAGCAGGGTCAGATATGGATGCATTCTCTTCTCGCATGCTAAGGGGACAGGGCACCACCATTCCAGCCCATGCCCTGCTCTCAGGGCATTCTTACGGACCATCAGAGTGACATGGTCCTCTGGGGACTGCCAAGTCTGTCCCCTGGCATGCAGAACCCTCCCTCCCCTCCCCCGCCACACACAACCCTGCCCTGTCTGGAGCTGGAGTTCTGAAGCCAGGCCAGGGCTTGGGATTCTGCCCAGCAGTGCCTGGTGAGAACACCAGCACACGGGTTCCTGCATTGCTTGACCCCAGGACATCCTAAGTCAGGGTGGACGTTAATAGGTCCGACCTTTGCAACTCTTTGGGCAGGAGAGCCAAAGGGCAGGACCAATCCCTGGAGCCCGAGATTGGAACAACCCTTGCCCTGCAAGTTATTTTAGTGACCAAGTGTCCTGAAATAGGATCACAGGTGCTGGCTTGTTTATGGCCTGCAGCTGGCCACCCTGGGGAGGGGACAGGAAGTGAGCAGCCAGCTGCCCCGGGCAGGGTGGGGAACCCTGGTTTAGCTTAGCTTGGCCTGTACATTTGCTTGTGGACAGAACCCCAGAGTCATGAGACAGGAAATCTGAGCACATGGCCAGGGGCTTTAGCGCATGCACAGTGAGAGAGATGGAGTACAGAGGAGTTGAAAAGAGAATGGGGCCTGCGAACTCCGGACCAAGCTTGTCAACCAAAGGGTGGGAGAAACAGGGATGTTTGCCGGTCGCTGGGACTGCTATGTGCCAGACGCTGCGCATGCGACAGCCAGTGCTAATGACCTCGTTAAACTCAGTCACTTCCCATGTGTCAGATGGCGAAGCTGTGGCCCAGAGAGGTTCAGGGGTCCCTAACCCAGGATCACACAGCTAGTGGGTCTCTGCTCTCCCTGAGTCTGGAACCTGCCCTTTGTTCAGTATATGCAGTGGGGCTTGGAGGGTCATGGAGGGACATGAGCAGGGATGATCCAACAGTGGCTGCCCGAGGACTGGCAGCAGTGATGTGTAGCAAACCGAGCTGCTGTGACTGGCATCCCATGTGGGCACCCATTTGTACCCTGGCTGCTCTACTTTTGATCCAACCCCCTGCTAGGGTGCTTGGAAAGTCAGTGGACACCCAGAGGTGTCTGCACCTACCTGGGAGACTCAGCGGAAGCTCCTGGCTCCTGGCTTCAGCCTGGCCCAGCCCTGACAGCTGCATCGATTTGAGGAGTTGAACCAGTGGGTGGAAGATCTTCTCTTTGTCCTTCTGTCTTTCAAATAATAACAAAGGCTGCTAAGTTTTTTTCTCAGTTGACATTTTTATTGTGATAACCGCACTGCACATTCATTTGGAGGCATGAAGAGGCCACACGGAGAGCCCAGGTCCTCTCCCAGCTGGTAACAGCTCGGCACCCTCTTCCCCCCACATGGTACTGGCAGTGCCGCAGCCCATGCCACCGCTTCAGAGCTCCAGTGTCACTGCCTGCTCCCCGAGTGAGTCTTTCGTTCTTGACAGTTTCATCATGTGTGTTGTTAACACCTCTTTAGGGCATCTGTTTTCCTCCCAGTTTAATTTCACAGACGCGAGCAATCATCCTGGGGATCTGTGCGGGGGTGGGGTTGGTGGGATTTTTTCTTTTTCTTCTTCTTTTGGTTTTCAGAGTGCCCAGCAGGCTAGGGACGCCAGGTCACATGCCAGGCTCAAGTGTCTCGCTCTGGATGTCAGTCGCAGCTTCTTTTGGCTCCCAGTGTAGTGGGCTCAGGGCGGACATGAAGTGTGTCAGCGCTGCCACCTTGCCGTGCCCTCGAGGCGGGACGAATGGGAGCCGGATGATTCACGGCTGGGGTGACTCACTCCACAGAGGTGCCCCTGGGATGTGCGCTCTTCCTGGGGGGCCAGGGAGAGCGCTCTGGGGGGAGTCAGGGCTCAGCTCCCCTCCCTGCTCCAGATCTCCAAGGGAACCATGCTGTGGTTCACTGGGCAACAAAAAGGCTTCTTCACACGTCAGAGACGATTTATGCTGGAGTTCTCCTTTTCTTACTAAGCCGGATGCTCTCCTTTTAAACACATCTTTTATTTTGAATGGTTCTGTCGCAGAAGCCTGGCAAAAACAACACAGCCCCCACCCTCTCTGCCACCCACACCCACCCCCTTCTCAGCATCTTATGTTCCTTCGTTCGTAGGGCACATTGGCCATGCAGAATGAGCCAGTATTCACACATAATTGCTAATGGGAAGCCCACATCGGATGGATGCTGAGCTGTTTGGTTTTTAACCTCACGTCCTCTTTCCAGCCCAGGGTCCCCATCAGGGAACTTCATGTAACAGGCAGGCTCCTGAGGCTCCTCTTGGCTCCACTCCAGTCCATAATACCAAACATCCTTGTCTAGCACAGCTAGCTGTCATGAGCACCAGTGGCCTTGGCTTTCCACTCCCATCTGGAGCTCCAACAGGTGGAGACCACAGCACATCTAACACTCACCGCCTCTTGTCCATTTGCAGGTCAGCTTTTGTTCAGGGACACTGCAGTCCCCAGAAAGCCCTTGCCTGCGTCGGCTGCCCTGCCCCTTGCTCTTCTGGCTAGCAGCAGTAGGTCCCTTTATGTCCCTGTCTGCTCATCTCCCATCTGGCACTCTGCTGTAACTGCCTGGATGGGCACCACACCTGCCTGCCGCCCTTTTAAAAAGGCTGATCTATTTGGAAGAGCTAAACAGAGAGAACATACCATCGCTTTTACCGTCCTTCCTGCTTCCTGTCTGTCCTGCTTCCCCAAAGCGCTCCGGTGCCCAGGGATAAAATCCTTCCTACAGAGGTTCCCCCCCCACACCCCTACCTTAATACCCCCTTGCCATCTCCAGAGCCTTAAGTCATGGAAAGAGACTGTCCACTGGCTGGTCCAGTCCACGGAAGGCTTAGTGGCCATGGCTGAGTGGGCCAGGCTGAAGGCAGGAGGCGGGCACGGCCAGCCAGGTCTCCCTGTGAGGGCAGGGGCTCAAGCACTTGGGCCATCTTCTGCTGCTTTCCCAGACACACCAGTAGGGAACTGGAGAGGAGCAGCTGGGAGTCTCACACCAGTGGTCTGACATGGGATGCTGTCGTCGTGGTAGCTGTGTAACACACCCTGCCACACGCTGGCCCCTGACCTGAGCTTGTTAGGAGCCTGCATCTGCAGGTACTCCACAGCCTGGGTGCTGGCTTAGGTGTCAGGAGCCATCACCAAGTGAAGTCCATCACAGAGCAGGTGTCCAGTGTGTTGGTCGCCAGGCCACGTGGAATTCCTGAGCACATGACATGTGGCGAGAGCCAGGAACTGAAGCATAAGTGACAAGATGTGGTGAGTAA